TTTCCTTTTGACCTACAGAAACAATATTTTCAATATTATCATTAGAGGTGAATAAATGAGTAAAACATCAGAGCAGAATATGCAAATTTTACCTTCAGAAGTTTATTAAAAATAAAAGATGTAAATTTTTAAAAATTGTTTCCAGTGGTCAAAGGAAACCGAGTATAACATCACATTTAAGAGCCTTGAAACGAGGCCCAAATTCATACTTGGCAATCTATGCAATTCAAGTGACCCTCAAGCAGGCTGGCAGGAAGTGAGGAAAGCCCTGCACAACAGCAGCAAGCTACACTGGGGACTTTGGGGCTGTCCTTGAACAGTCAGGGTGGTAGAAAGAGAGGCAGGGCCAGTGGCACAATGGATGATGCATCTGCCTACAGATCAAAAGATTCAAAGGGGGTAGGAGGTGATGCACAAAGAGGGACAACAGATCTGGCTTGGAGATGAAGGGGCAGGCTTCGTCACAGTGGCCCATGTGGAAAAGGGCACTGTGCAAATGTGAAATGCTACCAAGCAATTTAGATGGTTCAGCTCTCCAGCTGGAAACCAATCTCACCATCGGGAATCAGAGCACATAAATGCAATGAACACAAATGCAATGCATGCCTCTGCTGGTATCTTGAATTGGGGGTGAGACATAACTAGAAAGAATATTATTGAATTAAGTACCACAAATGGGCAATTCGGAATACAGACAATATATTAATAGTATTGTATCCATGTTAAGTTTTCAAGTGTGAAGATTATACGATAATTATATAGAAAAATGCTATTGTACTTGGTAGATACAGTTTTAAGGTGAATTGATATGATATCTGTATCAAATTTCTTCCAATAAAATAGTCATAGACATAATGCAAGTATGACAAAATGTTAACAGTGGCTGAGTCTAGATGACATATATTTGATATTTTCAAAAAAATTTTAAAAAGAACACTGTACTTGCATAAATTTCATCCACTGGGTTTCTATTGGTATCAGACTAGAGACTTACCAAAAATAGGAGGGAATGGGTAAGTACTCGAGCACTCATGAACACACTTTGAGTACATGCTAAAATGGAACTGACAAAGACAACAATCATATCTATCAGAAGATTTCAGCCACCTGTCACCACCTCATATCCATCCCTGTGTTTCTGTTCCCTATCAGCTCATAACACTCGAGGTGGAGAGAATTTATAAGGCATCTGTTCAATGAGTCCTCAGGCTATTGTTCTCCATAAAGTTTGTTCTCATAAAATTCCTTTACAGCTTACCTATGGATGGCACCGTCCTTCCCTTGTGCTGGGGGTGGGGGGCATGGAATCCTGTTTAGTTGAAGCCTACTTAAAGAATTACATCTGTGGTTTCTGATCCTGCCTGCACAGGATGTATAAGAAGAGGGTTCTTGTCTCAGCTGCACTCAATGTCAAGGGAAAAGCATGACAATTTTATTAGCATTTTATTTATTAACTTATTTTTGGAGCTGAAGATTGAACCTGGACCTCACACATTCTAAGCACACACTCCACCACTGAGCTACTCTCCCAGGTACTAAGTGATAGGTTAAAAAGCTCAAATACTTGAAACCACTGGGGAACTATTAGAGAGCTAAGTAGCAAGTGCTGGAGACCACAAAGTGACAAATACCCATGAGAGGAGAAGAGCAGAGAAGAAAACAGGAGGAGGAAAGCAGAGAGACAGCAGGGAGGGAAAAGGAAGGGGAAGTAAAAAGGATTAAGATGTGATATATGTATTATTCATTCCCCTCATAAATTATCCATTATGTATAAGAAATTATGTATAATAAACAAGAAGTGATTTTTTAAAGAAAAATGAAAACATCAAATAGTTTGCCTTTATGTCTTCCTAATTGTTTCAGCTGCTTATTTATGATACATGATTTGTCAAGATGAAAGGAGTTTAAATTAAAGAAGATTGGACAAGGTGTCAAAATATAGGTGGTGAGCATTGTGAGGCCAGTGAGATTTCCCAAGGTCCTGCAAATCCAATATTCTCCTTCTTTCCTTAGTTATCAAAGACACCAAAGAGATGATGTCTTCTAAGAAAGTGGTACCAGAACTAGCAGGGCTAGATCAACTACCACCAGTGGATTACTTGCTATGTACCAGTACCTGATGTTCAAACACATTATGTCCAAATCACTCAATCGCAGCATAGACCCATTGGCCAAACTTCACTAATTTCATGTTACAGATGGAAAAACAAATTCTCAGATTAAGCAACCTGCTCAAGAGCACATAAATAGTGAGAACCATGCTGGGATCTTAACCACTGAGTTCTCAGTGTAGAATTGAGGAGTGTGACTTTGGAACTATTGTGCATATTCATTCCAACAACACTGCTTTGATTCGTTGCAGAGCCTAAGAAGAGGTGCCTGGCAAACATTCTGGGAACCTGTTCCTATTTTGTACAGTGAGGTCAGAATGAGCGGGACAAGGAGGTATGGCTGTGTCTCTATGCCAAGGCTTTCACCCTCTGTGCATACCAGCAATGCTCAATGTTGAAACTAGGTTTCCGTCAGTAGCCAGGGACTGTCCAGGTCTTATGCTCTTCAGATCTGAAGAACACTGGACATCCAGGAGAAAGAGACTTCTGTAGTATTTCTGGAGGATCTTGTCAGCACCTGAGCAGGTAATGCTTTGAGAGGCTCACTCATGACCACTGAGGATATTCAGGGCTGACCACCACGTCAATGCTTGCAATAAGTACAAGACCCGTACCTGCTTAGAATGTGACTTAGACAAGTGTGTGGTATGGACAAAACAGGAGCTGTGAGCAGGCCCTTGCACTCTCTGTAAGGACAGGTAGGGGCCACTGGTGGGCCCTGTGAAGGGTTGAGTTCTCCCAAAGCAGCTTCTGAGATGGAGAAGTACATGATATTTACTAGCATTTAACACCTATGAAGTTGGGGCGCTTCAGGTGGGGAAGAGAAAGAAACTGGACTGTGCTACAGGCCTGGAAAAACCTGAGTTTACCTTGTGGACACCAAGCAGTAACCAGTGCCCACCAGAATGTCCACTTCAGATCAAAATGGCCTGAAGAGGCTGCCCAGGAAGTGGCCCAATATTATTCTTCAGGTTTGAGGGCTCTAAGAGGTTGAAAGCTGTATGCTGTCTGCTGACCATGCTCCCTGAAGGTTGGCAGTCTTTTTGATGGGGTGTAGGCAGTGTAGATCTATGTCTACACAGCCCTCCACTCAGGTCTTCTGAGGGCATCATTCCCTTATGTCATCTCTTTTTAGATATTGTGGCAGTGGTTGTTGATCCCTGTCCCTTCTGCCCAGTTCTGAGTTGTACTTGATAGTCCCTGTGCAGATTGACAGCTTTCACTTTTTGCCTCAAGACCCAGTTAACTTTCAGTTAGAGACAACCCAGTTTAAAGCAGACACACATATCACCTAAAAAATAAAAGTGTTGTTTTCTCAGATCTCAGATTCTAAGAAGTCTGGAAGCCAGAAATTGACAAACAGTGCTTTGATTTCAAGAAATTAACTGGCCCTGAGCGGTACTGAAAGACACTCCAGCTCATTAAGAAGAGTAATTTGTACTTGCATTTCGCGTGAAGAGACTTCCGTTATCCTGTAGCTGTAACACAACAGGATGGTGATGTGTAAACCACAGGTGTCTCCTGACCATGTCAATCCACAATATTAGTTTTTGGGCTTCTTAAGATTTCTTCTTTGCATGGCAAATTACCCATGAAATACATTAACCAAACAGGGTGTAAGGAAGAAGGAAATCCTTTCTTTGCATTTTGGATCTAAAATATGGCAGGTGTATATTGGTTGTCATTAATCATTGGGTCATTGCAGTTTAAGTTCTACAGTAATAATAGAATGTGTTTTTTGTGTAAAGGAAGAAAATGCTGATTTCCTGCTACACTTGCTGGGGCTTTGGACAGTCTCCATCTAACTCTGGCTTTCCACGAGCCATTCTTAAGCTATCAGGCCAGGAGTTCAACAACAAATTGGGCAAAACTAAGAGGTTTACATGATTAATCTTGTGTCTCTTTTGATTTTAAACAGGGGTGATGCAATGAAGCTATGTGGGAAAAGTAAATCAAGAGAAGACAGAAGAATTCATGGGAGTGGAAGACCCTTTATGATTTGTCATAACTGGGGCAGAAAGTTCCTGGTCTCTGGGGTAATAAAGAAAGTAACACAGGTACATAGCTGTCACCAGAAATGTGGAAACATTCCAGGCTCTTAACAGAGATGCATCTCACACACAGATTCTTACAATCTAAAATTAATATTTTAATTTTTAATAAAGTAAAATCTGAAATGTGTACAATCAATTTCAATTCCTCATGTGGACTTGACACTGCAACACACAATGAATAGAATATTCTATGACTCCTTTAGCTCATGGGATTGAAAAAACATGGTTGAGATTTCAGGTCCCAACTGAACTATTTGGGGAATACAGAGAAACTAATCAGAGAGGAAAGATAATAAAAATCTTCATCATAAAGTTATTGTGAGGGTGACACAAGATAATGTAGGTCAAACTACAACATGTTTACAGATGAGTGATGGGAAACAGTTTGCCTGAACATGTGAAGTGTTTTAGTGTCTTACAGTCTCTACTATAAGCCTCAGTCACCAGAAGCCCTGATTCTCCAGGTATGAAAGTCTGAGTGCCAGGCTCTGCCTGCAAGACCTGGAAAAGAAACTTCTTGTGAGACAGGGACTGAGGGAAACACTGGACCCATCCATCTACCCACAGACTGAAGGCTATTCAAACTGTGGAGGGCTTCGAGACTACAGCAAGCTTGTCCCTCATAGGGAGCATCATTTTTAATTGTATGAATATTGGATGCTAAAGCCAGGCTGGAGGAAAGTTTACTCAGGTCAGTGAAGGGGCATAATATCCACATATCCCTGGATGCATGTATCTATATAGCCACTCCTTTATTTTTTGTTTTGTTTTGTTTTTAGTCTGTATCTATATATGTAGTCTAGGCTGACCTTAAATTATGTAGCCCAGGCTAGCCTCAAACTCTTGGCAAACCTCCTGCCTCAGTTTCCCCAGTGCTAGGATTATAGGGGTGCACTACCACACCAGGTATACCCACTCTTTTAAATTACTCTGAGTCACCTCAGGATAATGACTGTAAGTACAAATCTCTTTCCCATTGCTCTTCGATGGCACATTTGTCTTTTATTTTCAACCCAGCATGGTGAGTAGTTTGGGGTTGCTTCTTCTGACACACTCCTTCCTTATCTACTCTGAGCCAGGATTCCAACCTCTGCAGACTGTCATGCATGTCCTGCTCTTCATGGCTTTCACTGGGGCTTCGCCAATGGTCACAGCAGAAAAAGATGACAGAAGACAGCATCTAGGTTCTTGATTCCCCTGGCTCCTTCCCTGCTCACCAACAGTTTTAGCAATAACTGTATTTGTTTTCTTAGTCTGTTTTGTGCTACTCTGTCTTAATATCAGAACAGATAATTAACAATGAAAAACATATCACTCATGGTTCTAGGAGATGGGAAGTCTAAGATTCAGGGGCTGGCATTCTACACCAGAATACAGAAGGACAAGACAGCAAGCATTGGGGAACAATGGAGGAGGAAGGCAGCCAAGCTTGCTTTTACAACAAACTTACTCCCATAATAATGACACCAAACATGACCTAACCACCTCGACAGAGAGAGGCAGACAGCAAGGGAGAAGAAAGGGAGCAGAACTTTCTTTTCAATAACAAAACTACTCCCACAATAATGATATTGTCTTAGTCACTTTCTTACTGCTAAGACAAAATATCCAGCACTCACATCTTAAAAAAAAAGAGGGTCATTTTGGCTCGTGGTTGTTTAGATAATTCAGCCCATAGTCAACTGGCTTCAATGCAGGCAGGTCACGGCGTAAGGTTCCAGTGGACACAGCTGCTCACATCACTGCAGCCAGAGAGCAGAGAGAGAAGGGGGGAGTCAGGGAGGGAGATGGATCCTTCCAGGTTGTATTCCCTGTACCCACCCCAAACAGACCCTGCCTGTACTTTTAAGCATACAAATCTTTCACCTCAGGAAGTTTATTCCTAAGTATTTTATTTTTTTGATATTGTCATAGATGAAGTTAGTTTCATTTTTTTATATTGTTCAATATTAGTGTATATAGCTCAATTTACTTTGTGTACTGATTTTGTATCCTGAAAATTTGCTGATTTAATTTAGTTATGTTTATTTTGTGGGATATTTAGAGTTTTCTACATATAAAACTATATCTTCATTTTCCAATTTGCTTGCATTTTCTTTTTCTAACTGCTCTTCTTTTAGCCTAATTGCCCTGGATAAAACTTCTAGTAGCATGTTAGCAGCAGTGGTGAAAGTAGCCATTCTTTTCTTGTTACTGATCTTAGGGGAAAGCTTTCACTCTTTACCCACTAATAATAATGTTCTCTGTGGGTTTTTCATGTATGACTTTTGTTATATTGAGAGAGGACACGCGTCTTTCTGAATGCACTCCATGGATGACCCCATTAATTGTACAGAACCCTGTGAAAGAGGCATTAAAATCCCTCCTTTTTTCAGATGATAAAACAAAGACACAAAGAAGTATGTTCTTCCCATACATTAAATTTCTGTATATGGTTTTTATTTTTACATATAGCATGACAGTTTTTATTAAAACAATTATTTTTATTCTCAGTTCCTTATACCCCAGAGAGGGTTGCCCATACATCCCAAAAAAAAAAAAAACCAACCTGAATGAAAATCTTTCTCTCCAGGTCAGAACCCAGGGGAGCCAAACTAGGACATCACATTTCTATAAAGTACAAAAACAAATGGAATTAACCTGTGATATTAAAAGTCTAGTGATAGTTACTGTTGGATGAGAGGAAGATCAAGTGTGGGTAGGGTTAGAAAGGGTCCCCTGAGGTGCTGGTATGTGACATCTTCGATCTGAGTACTGGTTATATGGTTGCAGCTCTTTGCGAAAATTCATTAAGTTGTGCAGTGACAATGGCTGAGCTTTTCTGTAAGTATATTTAATTCAATAAGATGTTTCTTAAAAAGAATTCTGTTACTTTGGGCAGGGTGTGGAAGTTGGTAGGTTCTTTTGGTCTGTTTTCTACAATGAAGGAATGGTAAAGGATTTTACTCTGTGGATTTTGAAATGAAAACACAGATAGTGCATTTGCATTAAGGAAAATGACAAATCATTTTTATAATTATTTCCCTGACCTACATACAGCCAGAAAATGTGATGAGACAAAGACTAAAAAGATAAGAAATTGAGGACAAGGGCAAACAAAAAGAAAAGAAATACAGGTGGTGTAGAAAAAAATGAGCAAGGAAAAGATCAAAAGCAGCAAAAGACGCCCCCCAAAATTGAGACAGAAACACCTTTTTTCCTCTCCATACTGTAAGAATGGGCTCTAATGACCCCTCACTAAAGATTAGAAGCTTACGCGTTCATGAAATGACCTATTTTTTTCTAAGTTCAATGAATAAAAATTTCTAAAAGCTGTCTCATGCTCAATAAGGAAAATGTCTCTCAACGAAACTTCAGGGTCAACTCCAGTTTTCACAAGGAGGTGTATGTCTTTTTACAGCATTGTGTTCCATCTTGGGGCCTTTCCTTGTGCCATTGTTTGAGGGCTAGACCCAGGCCTCAGATGGGAGGGTCCCCACTCCTACTGTACAGAAAGAAATTCTAGATTGACCCATTAGGAATTAAATTCAGAATTTTTACTGTATCAACACTCAAACATTTACTGCAATAAATTACAAAGCAAGTTCAAATGGTATTTGCATGTAAGCATCCAATCCCCACCCAAACATACATATCTGTGTATTCTGAGCCCATATCTGACATTCTCCTCTTTCCTAAGATCATAGCCTTCCTGAAATTTTTCTATATAACCTGGATATTTAAGATTCATCTGTGTCCATATAAACACAATCCAGAACTGAGCCTAAAAATAACATCATCATTTCAATAGGTGAATAAAAAGTAGTGTTGGACAAAAGCCAACACTCTTTCATAATTAAAAAAAAAAACTTTGTGAAAATAGGCATAGAAGGACTTTACCTCAAATTGATAAAGCCATACACAACAAATCCAAAGCCAACATCACATCAAATGGTAGAAAATAAGAGCATTCCCTCTAAAATGAGAAATGAGACAACAGTATATATTCTTGCTACTCCTGTTCAATATACCACGTAAAATTTTATCCAAAGAAATCAGGCAAGAGAAAGAAATAAAAAGGATATGAAAAGAAAAGTAAAAAGTTGTTATTCCTATTTGCAGATTATGTATGATCCTTTGCAGAAAAGACCCAAAACATTTCACCAGAAGAATCTTAGACCTGATTAACAAATTTTGCAAAATCAACACATGAAAATCAATAGCATTCTTGTACACCAATAATGAATCCAAGAGAAAGAAATCAGGAAAATTATTCCATTTATGATAGCTTCAAAAAATTAAATAGTTAGAAATCAACCCAACCAAGGAAGTTAAAAACATCTATAGCAAAAACTGTAGAACTCTGATTAAAAAGGAAATTGCTGGCTATACAGTTTGCCTTTAAATTATGAAGTTCTTAGGGAAAATAGCTGTGAAACATGTACAGAAGACTCCTTAATGTCTCTTCCCCCTTCTTTTCCCCCTCCCCCTCCTCCTGGATCAAACTTAGGACCTTGCACTTGTGATGCAGGCACCATGCCACTAAGCTAAATCCTCAGCACTAAAGTATCATCTTCTAGGAACAGCTTCCCAAATCTTTGGAAAGCAGACTAGAAGTAAACATAATAATAAACCACCTTTCCTCCCACCATTCTTTTTTTGGCTTTGTTTTTATTTTTCATTCCTTTCCCAATTTTTGAAACTTTTTTCTTTTCTCCAAGAAATGACCAAACAAACTAGTAATGGTGGCACATGGGAGGTGAGGCAGGAAGATTAAGAATTCAAAGCTAGCACGGGATAGAGTAAGACCTTGTCTCAAGAAAAGAACATTTAAAAAAGATCAAACAGCTCCTGTGGTTGAAGGTACCAGAAAGGCCTGAAGTGGATACTCAAGCCTGAGTTCTGGATCATTTTTCTGGCTTGGACTGGTCAGGGGTTCCCTCCTTCAGAGTCTCCATGACTGTGTCTAAGCAAGTGTGCATGAGTATCATCTTCTCTTCAACTCTGTAATCTTTTCTAGTAGAGGTTCACTGTGAATATACATCTGAGATGCATTTACTATGGCCTTTGTTTTTAAGAGACAGCAACTCATCTTATCACTGTAAAGAAAGAAATTACCTCTCAGGGCAGCCAGAGCAGTATGCATGGAGTACAGATGGAAACCAATGGGAATTCCACAGGAATTGCAGAATAACCGGCTATAGGTGCTGCATTTGAGCAAACCCTCGAAGCCAACCAGAAAGGGTCTTCCAAAACATTGTTTTGTGTGACTTTGGAGAAGACCACGGCCCCGAAGATCTGCAACAGGTTCCAGGCGAGGTGCACCGAGTTGGCCGCAGCCACAGCAGTAGCCTCAGGCCAGTTGGCTGCTTGTCCGCCCTCAGCTCCGTGGGGCTGATCAGTGAGGAACCCTCTACCACCTGCGTATCCCACTCCATGGAGGTTGTCAAGCATGGCTTACCAATCATCTCGGCGCCCTTGCAAAAGTTGCTCCGGGATAGCGTCACAGACTACGAGCAATGCCTCCAGGCCGGGCTGCCCCAAAGTACTTTTAATTTTGAGAATATCAAGTGTTAGCCACAAGTTGGGCAAACAGATATCCTCATGCCCCACACGTGGGAGTGTATATTGGTGCAATCAATTTTGAGGGAAATTTAGCTTCTCTATAAAAACCAAAAACATTTACATACATGTACAAAGAAGTACAGCCAAGAATATCCAACCAGGAGTGGTGATCCATGCCTGTACTCCCAGCATTCAGGAAGCCGAGGTGAGAGGATCACTTGAGCATAGTTTTAGTCCATCCTGGACAACACAGCAAGTCTCCCGTTCAAATAAAAATCCTAGCAGCATTTTTCGTGAGATACTGGTGATGATCTAAATGATCATCAGTGAGAGAATGACTAAGTGGACAACAGTATATTCATAGTACAGAATATTCTGCAATAGTTAATTAGTGCTTCTGTAATAATGAGTAAATTAGGTTTACTTTTGTAAGTCAGATAGATATATTGTGAATATTTTTTAATTTGTAGAATGAAAGGTACAGAATTTCATACAGGTAAACCACTAGAAACAATACTGTGTACACATAATTTACAGATGTACAGATTTACATAAGCACCTGGAAAGAGGTGTGAAAGGTTAAACAAACTCAGTTCAGATTGCGTCTGAGAAGGTGGCAAGAGATAAGAAGGGATGAAAGGCACAAGTTGGCCTAGGAAAGAGCTGGGAGGGCAAGAAGCAAGGGATTTAGTCATATTTGTGAAGTCTCATTTTATTTTCTAGTCAGGTATTTCTGTCTCATTCGCTGAGTCTGCTTGAGGACCAAGTCTCTCTTCTCTGGATGTGCTGGCCTTTGCACAGATTGCCCATTTGCAAGTCTAACCTAGACCTGGCCAGGTATTCAGGGAAGAGGCTGTGTAGACATATCACTCTCCAACCCTCGCACGACAGGATCAATGACCTTCCCTTCCTCCCCTCTCTTCCCTCCATCTCATAGTACTCACCAGACACCAGAATCTTAGGGAATGAAAACGGTCTTTCATCCTGAGCTGTGAGTTAACAGTAGCTGTACCCATTCTTGACTAAGCAGGTTCCTAGCACGAAGCATGCTGTGTGGTCTGCTTGGAAGTCTTCCTCTTATGTGACTGGAAAAATTATACTTGGAATTATATTTCAGGGAAATAATGAACTCTCTAGACTCTGATCTGTTGAGGTTTTTGTGTGGCTACCCTTGAGCTATATACTTCCTTTATATATCCACATATAACACCAAGAAAAGAGGAAATAGTACCCTCTGCTCCAGTCTAACAATTAAAAATTGGAATCACATCCAGAAAAACTCATGTCAATTCCTCCTAAATAATAACAGATTCATGCATTTTGCTACTTACAAGTTCATTTTAAATCAAAGGCTTATACAGCTTCATATTTGGCAAACTGGAAACATTTAGATACATTCTAAAGTGATATAAAAGCAAAATCCTCACAGCACTAACAATCCTTTCCAATGATCTCATTTCTACACGACAAATTCCAGTGTATTTCCTTCCTCTGATCCCTCAGTTTTCTGCATTCTCTGAAACTGCAGCACTAAGTTAAAGACTGCAGGATGTATTTGGTGCTCACTGTTGAATTTGTGCAGCACTGTCTATTGTGTGCGATTGATTCTCTATATTTCTTTCTTTCCCCTGAAGTTCCTAATGCAGTGGTTGGTTGGTTGATCAGTTAGAATATGGAAGTAGCTGGTGTGTGCTCCTCACAAATCCTTGATTCCTTTCACTAGTACTGATGTAGTGCCCAGGCCAGCCTCTGGGAAGACCCCATATTTTCTCTGTTTTCCATTTTCCTGAATGTTGCAAGGAAAACATGAGTATGAGGCAGGGCTGGTTCCTCCTAGATGTGGCCTCCCAGAAACCACAAGTCCAAAGGAAGGCAGCTTCTGCTTCTAATCCTGAGCACTATTCTGCCATTACCACCCAGACAGAAGGCCCTAAACACACACACACACACACACACACACACACCTAGGATCAGCTACATAATTTGTGTGTGCAATGCAAAATGAAAATTTGGGAGTCTCTGTTCAAAATGTTTCAAGTATTCAAGACAGCAACAGTAGAGTATTAAACCAAGGGGAGACAATCCAATCAAAGCTTTGTGAATCACACAGACTACAGGCCCACAAAACCCACCACGTCTCTACTGAGGTCCAGAAGCAAGGCTTGGCCTCTCTTCCATGGTGACTCAGCTTTGTCCTACTCTTCTCCCCACAACGCAGACACGTGTTGGACCCAAGAAGAGCACCAGAGTGAGAAATTCAACCTGGCACTCTGTGCCAACCTACTTTGGCACCAGCACCCATGCAATCCCTGTGAGCTTGTGAGAAATGTGGGCTCTCAGACTCTACCTCAGAACCACTAAACTGGCATCTGCATTTCAACAAATCCCCAGAAGACTCCTGCTCACATTAAATTTGGAGAACACTGGCTAGAGCTCTGTATTTGAGAGTGCCCTGTTTTGCTGACTTATCAGATACCCTGGCAAGAAGCTCCTTTAGGGTTCTCAGCAGTTGACAAGTTTAAGGGATAGGAAGACAGTGACCAGAGAAGGGACAAGAAATAATGGAGTTGGTTAAGTGATGTCTGAGGCATGTCACTGGCCTTCAGCCAAATGCCACTAGTAGCACAGTTGCAGTTGAACAAGTTGATACAAATGAGAGAGGATGCGCACTACAGAAAAGTGGGAGCATGTTTTAAAATGGGAGTTAGAAAGGATACAGTATAGGAGTTGGGATTTTGGTAGGTGCTTTGTTTTTATACATGACAATTTATCAGATGTTTCTTTTATTGTCTCTGGAAGAATCATAGATTCTTCTACTCTAAAATTAAATAGGGGGCCAAGGATTTAGCTCAATGGTTCCGCTGCCTGCTTCACAAGCACAAGGTCCCGAGTTTGATCCCTGGTACCACAAAAAATAAAATTAAATTAAATAGGAAGTTATTTGTTTTCTGCTAACACTTGTATCTCCTTTACATTTATATCTTGTATTTTATTTTGATGTAAAGTATTAATAAGGATCTTTTATCTTTTCACAAATAGCTACTCTTTTTTTTTCAGTGGTCTTTTTTTTTTTTCCTGGTGACTTGAGATGGCACCTTGAGATGCCACCAATATACTAAGTTTCCAAAGGCACTTTTGTCTATTCTGAGGCTATTGTTTCACTGGTCTTTTGAGCTATTCATGCACCAATACTACTGTTTTAATCGTACAGACTTTGTGGTGTTTTAATGTCTAATAAGGCTAGTTTCTTTGGTGTTTCCAGTTTTACTGTTTTTTTTAAATATTCTTGCACATTCCAGTATACCCCCTAGAAGTTGCAGTTCAGAGCTCACGGCCTGTTTTTCACAGATTTTTTCCTCAAAATCTAACTAGCAGTTGTTTACAGAAACCCCCACAATTTTGTAGAAATTGCAAATATCCTCGGCAATTATTTTTTTGGCAGGAGGTTTCCAAGTAGCCAATCCAAGAGCATTATTCAGTTCTCCTTGCTGCTGATTGGCTGTTGCCCTGTAGCCCATCTCTGCAACAGCATTCCCATCGTAACAGATTTATGTATCACGTATAGCTATCTGCAGTGTTCTCTGTTTTGTTCTTTTTAAAACCCTAACATCCTTAAGATGCCACCAAAACACCCTGTACCTTCTAAGGCTTCATTAGTACAGTATTGTATTAAATTAAATTACATAACTATAGGAGTTATAGCATATTTAGGGTTAAACTACAAAAATAGATATTTATAAGCATTTTTCTGACCATATATGAAAATCTTGGTTTTTCACAATTTCTGGGCACACTAGGAATGTAACCCCTGCAAATTTCAGGGGTCCATTGTATTTCCTTTCTACATTGTACTTGCCAAAAATACATAACCTTAATTTAATCATGAAGAAATATAAACACAAACTGACATTCTATAAAAGAATTGGCTAATACTCTTCAAAGGAGCCAAAGTCATGAACAAAAAAAGAGTAAGAAACTAGCTCAGATTAAGAGACTATGCAGGGGCCAGGGATTTAGCTCAGTGGTTCAATGGTCTGCCTTGCAAGTGCAAGGACTGGGGTTCAATCCCTGGTACGAAAGAGAGAGAGAGAGAGAGCGAGAGAGAGAGAGAGAGAGAGAGAGAGGCAGACTATGGAAATAACAAATGCAATGTGCAGTCCTAGATGGAATTTTGGTCCAAAAAGGAGCTTAGCACAAGTGATGAAATTTGAATGAAGTCTGTAGATTAGGTAATAATAATGTTCCAATACTTCCTGGTTTTAATTTAATGTGATTATGTAAGATATAGACATTTGGGGAAACAGGACAGAGGACCTAATTTTTCTCTTTTTGCAATTTCTTTGTAAGTCTGAAATGATTTAAAATTTCAAAGGTAAACAAAATAAGATGAAAAACATCCAAGCATAGTGGTGCCTCTCGGCACTCAGAGGACTCTGAAGCAGTGAGATCAAAAGTTCAAGGCCAGCCAGGGCTACATAGCAAGACCTAGTCTTAAAAATTTTTGAAAAATGATTAAGTCATATACAATATATAGATATATACACATTATAATTTACTTAGCAAACATTTAAATACTTTATATACAATAAACCTCTTTGCCAAGTGGAGATGTGTACTTGCTATAGACAAGACCAAAGCAAATGGGTGAGTAAAACAGTCTCGCTATGGGAGGGTGTCTTGCGGTGGCATTTCATACCAGCAGTGGCTTTGACTATACTGTCAGTACAAGAATCAGGCTCTTAGTACATCTACAAAATCTCGTATGAGGACCTGCCAACCAAGTCTAGGTGATGTTGGCCTCACTTCAGACAATAGGCACAATGCTTGCTTAGTCTATTTTGCCCAGGTGAAAAGGTCCATGGCATAGGATACACATTATGGTCATCTGAGCCAATCGATGATACCAGAGTCATCCACACAGTTACTGAAGTTCTCTGTGATGGTGTTGGTTAAGATGCAAGTTTAGTAACTGCTTGAGCTCAGTTTCCAAAGTTGTTACTATTTGTTTTTACATGGATGTGGAGGAATGGCTAGATTACTAGATGGTAACTTAGGTAACAGTGTGGGATCTTGGTTCTGCTTCTTCTCTAACCATGAGTAAGTTAAGTTCTCTTTTCTGTGCCTGTTTCCTCAACTACACCTTGAAGATAACTATCATATAGGCCACTGTGAAAATTAAATGAACTAGTATACAAAAAGTGTGTGGTAATACTGATCACATCATAAATGTTAGTTGTTACTATTTAAGAGACCAGTGTGTAAATAATTATAAAAGTATTTTAGGAGTAGTATCATACACACACATTTTTAAAAACTGACAAATCACTTAAAACTGTACTCAGGAGTGTCCAAAGTCTTCAGTGTTGACAGCTGAAGTGACTAATAAAATAAAGCCCAAGCTGGGTGTAATGCCAGCATTCTGGGAGCTAGAGACAGAATGGTAAGTTCAAGCCCGGCCCGGTTAAATTAGCCACTTAGCAAGACCCCGCCATCTGAGGAAAAAACAAAAAAATTGAAGGCCTACAAATGTAGCTCAGTGAAAAGGTCCGGGTTCAATCCTAATAACAGCAGCCCAAGATGTGGGTGAATACTCACCATATGCTAGGTACTGAGCCAGCGATTTCACAGGTACATATTACCACAACTCTACAGGATGTGTCCTTTCATTCTGGAAGAAAGCTCAGAGAAGTTAAAGTCGTTCTGCAATAGGCACACATAAATGGAAAAAAAAACAAAAACAAAACTGTGATTGTGATATTTTTTTTTTCCCCATCCTGATGCTGGGGAGGAATCCAGGGCCTGCAGCACCATAGGCAAGCGTTCTGACACCGAGCTACGTCCTCAGCCAGGAGCTGGGATTTCTAAAAGTCAGTGGATGTGGCAGAAGAGCGGCTCAGCAGAGAACTCTTCAAAGGGTGTGGATAAATAGTAGCTCAGTGAGCGCGGGCAGAGCTGGGTGCTTCAAGACCGCTTTAGCCACTGATTTCTGTAGGGCACATTTGGCCTTAAATCCCAGGGCAAAGCTAAGGCAGAGGATTTTAAGCAGAACCACAAAGGGAGTGGAAACCGCAGGTCCTCAGGAGAAGGGATGGCGGCTGGTCCCAGGCAAGGACGGCGCGCGCGATGACATCGGCCCCGCTAGCCCCTCCTCAAGTCCACTGCCCGGGCTGGCTCCCTACCCGGTTCCTCTGGACCCCTGCAGGCGAGCCAAGGTTCAACGAGTGGCAGGCTGCTCCCACACCGCCACCTGCAGGGCAGAAGCCACTAGGCTGAGAGCAACTCCTCTGCGCTCTCCAAATGCACTGGCGCACTTCCTGTCCGTGCGCCGCAGTTCCTGTCACGTGTGGATGTGGTCACGCGAGTTTAAATCACGTGGCCGTGTCACGTGAGCCCCCGTCCCATGGGTGCTGAGACAGGGCCTGGGCTTCTGAGGCTCTACAGTTCTTGGCGGCAGGCGTTGTGGCTCTGTAGTGGTAGAGCGTGGAGAGATGGTGAGGGCGGCGGTCTGGGCCTGGCTGGGCTGGGCTGGGCCAAGTAGGAGGGTCCGCCCCTGGGCTCAGCCTAGTCTCATCCTTCCCGCTACAGATGAACCAGACGACCCCGGACCCGGAGCGGGCACCGGCGTCCGAGGCCGTGTGGGAGCGGCCCTGGTCGGTGGAGGAGATCCGCAGGAGCAGCCAGAGCTGGTCGTAGGCGGACCCGGCATGCGAGGGAGGGCGGGAGGGCAGGCGTGCGGGCACCCGCGTTCCCTGCCCCAGGCCACCCCTAGGAACCTGATCCTCTACCCTGCGAAGCCCTCACGGAAGTCCCAGGCACCGGGAAGGGGAAGAGGCCATGGGCCTCTGCCCTGGAGTACTCGGTCTCCAGGCGGGACCCAACCTATTAGGATGTCCTCAGCGGTGCGCCTGACTCCATCCCAGTGGACAGATCCGTTTCTGCCAAGCTTAATATACTTGTGGCCTTGCTGAGGCGACTGTGTTTGGACCTAGAGGCGGGGGGGGGGCGGCAGATGGGCCAGTATGTAGAGATCCCTGAGTGAGACTTCAAGCTTAGGGTCTATAAAACCCAGAACCCTTAATTCCCAAGTCCTATATGAATAAGAATGACAACCAATAGAATTTCAAAATTCCTCAGAAAGGGGATAACCTTTAAGTGCCTGCCGACTCCGTGTCACTCATTCAGTGAGTTTTCTTCATGTTTTGCAGTGCCAGTACCATCATAAGCATCTACCCTTTTACATCTCAACATGTGAAGGTGAAAGGATATCTGTTCTTGTTTCCACACACTTATTGTGTGTAATATAGGTACTATTGTGTGTTTATTTTAAAAACAGCTACTACAGTTTCTACAGGAATTTTCACAACAGACCATCTCTAGGACCCATGAAATCAAGAAACAAGTGGACGGACTGATTCAGGAGACTAAAGCCACAGATTGTCGCCTTCATAATGTCTTCAATGACTTCCTCATGCTGTCTAATACCCAGTTCATCGAAAACGTGAGTTTTCACTTATGTTGTACTTGCAAATAATACCTTTGGGGGAAGAAGAGCTATTGTCATTCTAAGTTCTCTCCTGAATTTTAGTAAGCACAGTTCTCTGTAATCGAAGCTTCTTTAGGATCAGTGCCTGTTCTTTACTAGTAAAGTTTGGATTTTTTTAAAGCCTCTATAAGAAATCTAGTAACATTTTCTCATATTCTGATCTTTCTCTTTTTAGTTTTGAGAGTAGTCAATTGACATGCTGAATCCTGTGGCATTCAAGCCTGTTATAGCATATTCTGAAGGAAGGCTATGTCCTGAGCCCATTAAGTGTAAAATCATAAAAAGACTTATCAAATTTGCAAGATTCTAAAAAGCCTATTTTTAGGATTAGGACAATACCATGAATGCCACATGGGCAGCATGTGTGTGCATATTTTAGTAGCTCAGGTTGAAATGCTATTTCTGCCCTTCTTGCAGGAAACTATGTAAAATGAGGACCTCAGTAGAGATCTCTTTGCTGGTTATTTTCTTTAGTGGCAAAGGGAAATTTGTGAGTTTGAAATACAACTATTCAAGTAAAATCATTGTATGTTGAATATCCTTTATCTTGAATGGTTTGGATCAGAAATGTTTTAGGGTATAGGCTATACTAATAGACTATACTGATTCAGCATCCCTAGTCTAAAATGCTCTGGAATCTAAAACTTTTTGAGTCTCTTGTCAGTGCTCAAAAGATTTTGGATTTCATATTTTCAGGTTAGGGATACTCAACCAGAAATGGTTTTCTGGTGATCTACACAGGTTGTTCCTGTTTGGTCCTGAGCATTTCCCATCCTAAAAGAGTAGCATAGGAGACTGATCTCTAGTTCCCTGGTGAATGCCGCCTGATCGCAGAATTCGATGTCCTTTTAAATATTCCTGTTGCTGGGTCAGGTGCTGAGCTTTTCTCTGTAGGTAGTGAGTGTAATGCTGCGAGACCTGGCAAGGAGCAGATTTTGGAGGTTTCCTTTTTCTTTTCACCCAGCATGCCCACACGAGGCTGGCACTGGATTGGTATTGGATCAGTCTTCATAGTGAGGAGAAAAGGAGTGTATCATAAACTTCATTCTTTGAATTACAGTCTTCAGGTCTTTTTTTTTTTCCCCAGCTCTTAGGTTCTGCATTTCCCATGGTCTAGACTTTGTGGATTGTTTTTGTTTTGTTTGAATACTAGTTCTTTATTTCTGCCCCTGTATGTGGATTTCTAGTTTTCCTCCCATCTCTCCATCCCGTTAATGTTAAATCCTTAAGCCCCTTCCCCTTCCAGCCTGCAGCTAGGTTCCTCTCAGGAACATTCGGGCCACGAATGTTCGTGGCCACTTCGCCACAGCAAAGTGTAACTGCTGCCCAGTCCTCCTGTAACACCACCTTGCATGTGCAGAGCAGCCAATGATGTTAACAGAACAGCTAATGCTTAATGAGACTGCCAAAAAAACCTACCTCTGATAATCCCAGTGGTGGTGACCTGGCTTCTCATGTGTTTTCTACAAACCCTGATGTTGGGACTCACTTCTTTGATTCAGTTTTGAGTGATGGTGCCATTTGGTTTCATGGCAGTTTGTTGGAAAGAGTGTTCCGAGTCAGGTAGGCTTCTGGGTTTTATTAATGGGCCTCAGAGGCAGGGACACAGTTGCAAATCACGTTTGGGAGTTAGTGAAACAATATGGACTTTCTAGGGCAAGAAAATTAACAATTTGGTCAAGACTCAAGAGGGGATCCTGAAGTAGGAGAAAAGCTAATTGGTGCTGTCAGTGTTTCCTGTCTAATTAAATGACATAGTTCTTAAAGTTTCATTAATTTTTTAATTTAGGAGCTTTATCTTGAAATGCTAAGTGCCATATTAATGGCTTGAGGTAGTTAAGAGGTATCACAAAGGGTTTTTTTTTTTGAGTCATTTGTTTTAAAATATTTAGCTTTGCAAAATTCAAAAAGAATTTTTCCAACATGAAACAAATAATTTTCCAGATCATCTTCCTGTTAATAATAAAACCTGGTTTTGGTCATTATTTTCCCCCTTCCTATTCTACTTTTCTATTGAAGAAACAGATGCAGTTGCCAGAAATTTTAGACACTTCAACAATTGGAGGGACAGAGCTTAGAGCCTTATTGACTATAACTTCTGTCCTCCTTCCCCCATCCAGCGCTAACGGAGAAACTCACTGTTTGGTACATATCTTCTAAGTCCATCTTCATGCAGATACTGTGCTTTAAAGAATTAGACCTAAAGGAAAATCAATCTAATTCCTTCACCCCAAATTAACCATCCAGTAAACATTTTGGTGGATTTTTTTCTAGTCTAAATAACTGTGCATGTGTATGCATTTTCCTTAATTGTTTTTTTTTTTTGTACTAAGGATCAAACTCAGTTTTTGAGCCTTAACACATCTTTGATACTTTTATGAGCTTAATTTTTCTTAAGTCCATTGTATGACTATATTATACTTCAATAATTTTCTAATGTGAAAATTTTATTGAAATATTTCATATTTAAAGAAAGTAGAGAGCCACAGATGCTAAGAGTAAGCAGCATCTAGCATTCCTTAATAGATTTTAGTATTTTATCACAACTTTTTCAAAGGCAATTAGCACTCTTTCCCCCATGTTTTTCCTTAACTGTAAACATTTGGGGATGAGGGCCTCCTTGTATCTCTGCCAGAAGTCCTTGTGGATATGTGTGTGAGCACATATATGTGTGATATTAGGGATTTCATTTTTTCCATATATATAACCTTTATTGTGTAGTTGTCCTTTTCCTCATTGAGGAGTGTGAATGTCTTTGTGTATGCATGTGTGTTTGTGTGAATATAAAGTCAGGCCTGCACATAACAGTGAGCCTTTCTGACCCCAGCCCCTTATTGTGTACCAGCATCACTATATTAAATGCCACAGGTTACTAGTGTGTCTTCACAGGCCAAGTCTCCATAGCTTCCTTTTATTCGTAACTGTTGTAGTTAGTTATCTTTGGCTTTTGATTTTTCTGTGTGAATCTGAAGATTAACTTGCTATTTTGTTCTGTAGAAAATCTTGCTAGCATTTTATTGGCATTGCATAGAATGATGAATTTGGTATATGTGACTTCCCACTACAAATTGTAATGTTTAATGTCATGAGCATCCTCTGGGAGGTAGGATTCTTGGATCAGGATATACATTTAAAACATTGTTTGATGAGATTGTTTGATATTTTCATGAAAGTGGACAACATCCACTGCTAGAGAAGGCTTGGTACATCGGTGTTGTACAGGTTGGTACATTGGTGATGGGAGTGAGTTGTGACACATTTCTTCAAAGGAGTCTAGTGGTAAGTATGATGATTGCAAAAGCTCTGTCCTTTGGTTTCATAATCCTCTTAAGGAGCCTGTAGAAATAAAAGGATAGGTGCATATGTCTCTATATATTTGTATAACTGCCATAGACCCCAGGAGCACACATATCACACTTACCTTATCACAAAGGTTAGATTGAAGTAGTGAAGGAACCATGCATCTCTCTTATGTGTATCTTTATACACATTGATTATCCTTAAAAAAAAAAAAAAAACTGAAATTGGGCTGGGGATTTAGCTCAGTGTGCCACTGCCTGCCTTACAGGTCAAGGGCCTGAGTACGATCCCCCATACCAAAAAGAAAAAACTGAAATTGAAAAAGGTTTCAGAGTTTTGTGCATTTTGAATTTCAGATTTTCAGATTAACAATGATCAACTGGTGAAATCTATATAAATATTCCAAAATCTGTTTGAGGTACTTCTGATCTTAAGCTTTTAGGTAAATGATAATCATTGTGTGTTGATTTAAAATTTCCTAAATTGAGCTAGAATCCACATGCTGTATGACTCACTCTTCTAAAAAACATGCAGTTCGGTAGATTTTAGAGTATTCACAAGTTTTTATAACCATGGCCACTGTCTAATTCCAGTGGAGTTAGCATTCTACTTTCATGTGAATGAGGTACAAAAATTTATCATCCATGTTAAACAACAGAAAGAAAATAAATTTTACTTTTCCATTCCCATTGCTCTAGGTATTAGGGTTTTGTGACCTTCTCAGTAAGTTGCAGAAGGTAACATCCTCCATAGCCCTGGGGAAGAATACCTGTCCCTTTGCTCAGCAGCATGTGTATTAGGTTAAACACAAGTGTGAAAACTCCTGTCTTAACTGATGTTGCAACTCTTGGGGAAACCATGGAACTGAACTTTTCTTCATGTTTCCTAGAAGTTTGCATCTTTTGTATCTTTTTTCAGTTGTATACTGAATTCTGGCCTTTGCCATTTGTCCCTGGTCCATTGGTCATTGCCTTAGCTGTTTGCTGGCTAACAATTTCCTTCTGCATCTTGCCTTTTTGTGACTGAATATTGAATTCATACATGCGGTTTACCTCGGATGCTGCTTTGACCTATGAACCTCAATTTGCTTGCCTGTTTAGCGTGTGTATGACGAAGAAGTGGAGGAGCCGGTGCTCAAGGTGGAGGCCGAGAAGACAGAGCAGGTACTTGAGTTCAGTCCCTCTTTTTGTAAATTCTTGACTTAGAGAAGGGCAACAACTGAGACTTACAAGTCTTGTGGGGGTGGTGGCAAGGGACAGACACAGGGAAATGAGATGACTTTCCTGTCAATGCCCAGTTGAACAGCTTTATTTTTTCCTGAAAGTTAGCATACTGAGTAACAGATAGATTGAATGCCTGAATTCTGGCATAAGAATAGAGAGAAGTCAGTGGACTTTTTCTATAAAGGGCCAAATAGTAAATATTATAGGTTTCATAAGCTGCAAAACCTGCCTCTTCTTCCTTCTACTCCTCTTCATCTTCTTCCTGCTTCCTTCCCTACCTGTCTCTCGTACACTCATCCTTCTACCCCTTCCTCTTTCTTCTCCTTTCAACCCTTTAAAAATATAGCAGCCATTCTTGACCATCACTAAAAAAGGCTCCTGGATGTAGTTTGCCAACTTCTGATTTGGAATGTTATGTGGGTTAGTCCTTTAAACCAATTTTCTCTTTCCCTTTCATGCCTGCTTTGACTATTCTGCCTATCAAAGTGACAGGAAGGTGAATGAATCTGGTTTAGTGTACGAATCTGACTACCTCTGGAGTGTTAGTATAGTCAGTACTAACTGTACAGGGAGCAGTTACTGACTCTGTGACAATTCAGGGCCTGGTGATATAGGACACTTTGACTCTTTGCAGTTTGAGTGAGGGTCTTCCTGAGTTGCCCAGGTTGGCCTTAAACTTGTAATTCTCCGGCCTCAGTGTCTCAAGTAGTTGCGATTACAGGCACCTGCCACCACATCCAGTGTGTCAGTACTTTTAATTGGAATTTGTTTATAGTGTGAGGCTACACCGTAGAGAACATTGCAGTGTTTCCATGGGGTGCTGTCATTATGTTGGACATCCACAATGAGTGATGGTTTGTTTACAGGAAAAGACCCGGGAACAAAAAGAAGTAGATCTGATTCCTAAAGTCCAAGAGGCCATGAACTATGGTTTACAAGTACTGGAGAGCGCCTTTGAGCAACTTGACATAAAAGCAGGGAACTCGGACTCTGAAGAAGATGATGTTAACGAGCGGGTGGAACTGATTCTTGAACCTAAGGTTAGCACATTCAATTCAGTTACTTCCTGCTGTACCATACTTCCTGGGCACAGGATTGGGCACAGCTGGACTTCAGCTCTAGGAAGTACAGGTGACACTTAGCAGTCCTGTGGTGATCCTGTTGGAAGACTGGCCATGCACAGGCACTGATGGAGCACTTGAGCACAGAACATGCCAGGCTAGGGGCCCAGAGTCGCCAGGCCTGGTGTGAGGGAGGAGGCGTGTGTACCAGTGACCGTCACGTGCTCAGAGACTCAGCTTCTAACTAAGGCATTGGGGCAAAGACAAGATTTGGATTAGGGTAGGGTTTGTTCTTTTCCAAACTTCAGAAGTTTTAAAAAGTTTATGTATATTTGTCTTGTACAGCATGTTTTGAAATCCATATACATTGTAGAATACCTCCATCTGACTAACTTATGGATCCCTCATGTGGTTACTTTTCTGGTGATTGTTAAGACCACAGTCTACTCTTGGTCTTACTCCTCTTGTCTAATTGAAACCTTGTCCCCTCTGCCCTGCATCTCCCTAACCTCCACTCCTCCAGTCTGAATTGGAATGAGAGGCTCAGAAGAGGTATAGGGTGTTGGGAACCTGGGACTCTGAGCAGTGGATTGAAAAGTGTTTGGGTCATTCCCATTTGGCGGGTACAAGAACGGCCACTGTGAGCTTTCCTGTGTAGGCTTCCTGTTCACCTCATAGGTGTGTACGTGTTGCATATTCTTTGTCAAAGTGTTAAAGGAGACAAAGGGCAACACATCACTCAGTAGTCAACACAAAGGCCACTATGTTGATTTCTGAGAGAGTCCACATGACAGCAAGTGCTTTTTTGGATTAAAGCACGAAACCCAGCTCTTTTAATTACTCATTTAGTTCTACCAACTTGAAGTCCACAGTTATACCAAGTTGGTGTGGATCCTTATCACTGGCTTTCAGTTTCACTGTGGGTTTAGAAGTCTGCAGCAGGCCTGAGGACATGTATTGCATAAGGTATCAGGATTGTTCTCTCCTGGGCCCCAGGGTGTTAAGAGAGATACAGGTCAGCCTTTGCTCTTGAAGTGGTGGTAGGAGGTAGTCATGGGGCATGGTGGGGAATGACAGTGGCATTATCTTGACCCTACCCCTTTAATTAACACACGTGATTGTGGAGGCCTGAAATGGAAAGATCTCCAGCATATACTACCGGGCACACTGCTCCTCCATCCCCTTCCGGGCCTTCATCAATTACAGCACCGCTTTTCCAAATCTGCAGTTTTGAGCTACTCCAGGCAAGGGCAGTGTTACTCTACAGTTTCCTGGCTGTTTTCTTCTCACTGTCTTGGTATAGTTTGCCACTGCTCTAGCTTCTCTGCTCTGCCGCAGTGTGAACAGACCCCTTCCCTTGGTGCCTGGTTTGTCCTGTCCCCTCTGCCATTCAGCTTGCAGTTGCCCACCTGCTGTCACTGGGGCTGGTTCCTTAGTGTGCTTTTCCACATTTAGGGCTGCTATTGTTGAGCCTGTGGTAAGTATTTCTATACATAAAAAGCAGGATAAAGCATTACTGGTGAGCCAAACATACATATTTTTAATACATAAAAATACACGTTAATATTTTTACATTTTATTTAAAAGATTTTTTAATGTATTTTTCATGTCTTTGTACATATATAAATGATGGGTATCTATAGTGAGAGACATACCTACACTTGGGTGTCAGGGTGCCTCACTAATACTATGTTTTAGAGGCGTGAACTGAGAGTGGGATTTCTCAGAGCTTCCCCAAATTTTCTGTTCCTTTCTGTGGTTCTTTGGAATGCTTTACTGGAAGGCTCTGCCCTTTTCCTTGTTTGTTTACTGCTGGTGAATTTCTTTTACAGGCCATTTCCAGTTTTGTTAACAAGGAACTTGGGAGGATTCTGCTTTACCTTGCTATCTTTACCTAGGGTTTGAATTTTTTAAAATCGATGATTTTAAGAATTCTGTTCATTTGTTTTACTCTCAGTCCTACTGTTTCTTACTGTCCACTTTCATTACATAGCTTGTTTGAGGTAGTCAGAAAAGCAGTTGTTAAAGAAGATACTTGGTTTCCTTTTTTAACCAAAACATTAATGACTGTTTGCTTTTGTTCTTTGCAGGACCTGTACATTGACCGCCCCTTGCCCTACCTCATTGGCTCTAAACTCTTCATGGAGCAGGAAGACGTAGGACTCGGAGAGCTCTCTAGTGAAGGTGCTTGTCTTACTTACTTTCTGGTCACTAGAACAAAATACTCTACAACTGTAAGGTGGAAGAAAGGTTTATCTTGGCTCATGGTTTGTAGAAGTTTCAGTCCATGGTTGGCTGGCTCAATGCAGGATGGCCTGACAGAGGAGGGCTGTTCATGGCTTGGCATTAGAAAGCAGAAAGCAATCAGGGAGGAGGGATGTGAGGGACGTAGACCCTTCTAAGCCACAGCCTCAGTGGTCCACCTCCTCCTTCAAGCTTCTCCCAGCATCACATTTATAGCTGTAAACTCACCAGTGTTCTAATCCACGGGTGAGTATCTATGCACACATATCATGCACTGGATAGTGGCTTCCCAATGCTCCACTTGTGATCATACAAGACTTTGGGGGGACATCTAAATAAAAACCATAATGATGCTTGTCTTCAGCAAATACTCTTGTTACTTTTAACATTTAGAAAGTACTTTCAAACTTTACATAAACATTGCAGAAACAGTCCAGAGAATCCACATATACTCTTCACCGAGCTTTGTCAGTAAACCTTTCACCACATACATTTTATCATTTTCTCTAATAGGTGCACATAATGTTCTTTGAGAACTCTTTGATGAAGCATGCCCCAGTATGCCTAAATAGTTCCCTCTCTATTTTTCAAGAACAAGGATACTGTCTTATACAGTATAACCATGGTATAATGATCCAAACCAAGAAACTTTACTGGATGTAATATCATAATGCTCTTCTCTAGTCTGTGATCATACTTGAGTTTTGCCAGCTGTCCTCATGAGGCCTTTTCTTGTGTCTCTTCTTCCTCTGGTTCAGGACTCAGTCCAGGACCTGGGAGGGCATTTAGTTGTCAACAGTCTCTGTCATCTTTTAGGGTGACACAATTTCTCAGCCTTCTTTCCTTTTCATGACCTTGACATCTTTGAAGAGTACAGCCAGGGTTTTTTTTTTCCTTTGTAAAGAATAATTATTTAGTGATATTGAGAGGTGCTTTCAGACTGTATAAATATCTTGTCCCTCGGTATAATTATATTTTTAATTCCCAAAAGTGGACATATGCAGTTTGATCAGAGCCTCTGTGATCCCGTTGCATATTATCGTTCTTAGAAGAAGGAATATATTCCTTAGAAGGAATTAAGGCATTAGTGGTCAGCCTTACCCTCTTCTCACAGAAGGCTCCATGGGCAGTGATCGAGGCAGCATTGTGGACAGTGAAGAGGAGAAGGAGGAGGAGGTAAGTACTGTAGTCTGACCAAGTCATGATGAGTGGGAAGCTGAGGTGTTCAGCAGACAAAGTCTGTATTTGTGAGTTAACCTGTCCGATTTCATAAAACTTTTAACAATAGTGGAAGCCACAATCTGAAGCTTTTCCTTGGGGTTAGATTTCCTCTTTGTCTTTTGTACAGAAACAAAGAAAACTGATCCATTGTCCTTTAGGGTTAGCTTCTATTCATCTTGCCACCGAATCCCTCCTCTTCCTAGTATATTTCAGGGCAGCTTAGATCTCTGCCTGTGGTCATAACTTTTGAGTATATTCTATCTCCAAATGGTTCCAGGGGAAAAAATACCTGCATCTAAAATATTTTTATGATAAAGCTTCTAGACCAGAAGGTACATTAAGCATCGCTGCCACTTTGAGCACATTGGTGTCCACAGAACATTATCCGGCCCTTAGAGGGGGCATCGTGAGGGGCAGAGACTCCATGAGGGGTGGCCCTTGAGTATAAGAGTTCTGAAAGGAGATAGATTTGTGTGTTTGACCCTTTCCTCATCTGTCCTGCTTTCTGCATCCCCTCTTCTGCCTGCCTTCCTATAGCCCCTAAGCAGAAATCTTAGCAGAAAAAAATGAGCTTTCCTTTGGTAACTGCTGAACCCAGTCACTCACTCCCTGCTGTTTTTAGCCATCAGTGTTACTCTTCACCAAATCACTGGGCATAAATACTAGTGTCCCCTTAGGTCCGATGAAACAGCCTACATAGAGGAAGTAGAGAGTAGAGTCCAGAACATGAAATAATACAACTGACCTAACTGAATATGTAGCTGTTTGAATTCAGAAGTCAGAATCAGAAGTGCAAGTGTCATGAAGAAATGGTTGGACCACAGATGCCAGCTGTGACAGCCTTCACGCCCCATCCATCTTGTCTGCACCTCTGTCCTTGCAGTGACCCATGCCCAATGCCACAGACTGAGTGTTGGAGCTCTTCTGCCACATTACTTAGTATCAGCTTGCCTAGAATCTTAGACCAAAGTCATCTTTGCTTGAGTAAAGCCTGTGCTAACCGAGCCATCTTCCCCCCTTAGGAGTCAGATGATGATTTTGCCAATCAGAGTGACAACAATCAAAACCAGGTGAGGCCCATGTCTTGAAGTGATTTTATTTTTTAAATTTTAAATACCTACTAAAACTACTTTAGAATGATTTATGGCAAGGGAGGGTTTTCTTCATATTTATAACTAAGTTTCCCTTACAGATGTCATATATTTAAGACTACCCTATTCATACACTTTTTTTCCAATTTTACTTTATATTTTATAATTTTTTTCTTTAAAAAGGGGGTAGGGAACAGAGCTGTGAAAGAATACCCAGTTACCCAAACCGAACTATTAACCCAAACTGAATCCTTCTCTCCTGTTTCACAGTTTGAAAAGTGTAGGGCTGAAGGTATAGCTCAGTGGTAGAGCACTTACCTGGCATGTGTGGGGCTCTGGGTTCCATCCCCAGTTCTGCCAAGGAGGATAAAGCAATTGAGACAGTAGAGAGAAAACTTCTGCTATTGCACCTCTGTCCTTGCAGTGACCCATGCCCAATGCCACAGACTGAGTGTTGGAGCTCTTCTGCCACATTACTTAGTATCAGCTTGCCTAGAATCTTAGACCAAAGTCATCTTTGCTTGAGTAAAGCCTGTGCTAACCGAGCCATCTTCCCCCCTTAGGAGTCAGATGATGATTTTGCCAATCAGAGTGACAACAATCAAAACCAGGTGAGGCCCATGTCTTGAAGTGATTTTATTTTTTAAATTTTAAATACCTACTAAAACTACTTTAGAATGATTTATGGCAAGGGAGGGTTTTCTTCATATTTATAACTAAGTTTCCCTTACAGATGTCATATATTTAAGACTACCCTATTCATACACTTTTTTTCCAATTTTACTTTATATTTTATAATTTTTTTCTTTAAAAAGGGGGTAGGGAACAGAGCTGTGAAAGAATACCCAGTTACCCAAACCGAACTATTAACCCAAACTGAATCCTTCTCTCCTGTTTCACAGTTTGAAAAGTGTAGGGCTGAAGGTATAGCTCAGTGGTAGAGCACTTACCTGGCATGTGTGGGGCTCTGGGTTCCATCCCCAGTTCTGCCAAGGAGGATAAAGCAATTGAGACAGTAGAGAGAAAACTTATCTTAGCTCAATGTTCTTAATTTTTGTAAGTCCATAAAAGGTGTATTTTGTTTCTGTTCTTCTATCTTAATGTAAATGTTTCTTTTGACATTTTAAACACCTTTTCTGATTTTGTATGTAAATGTTGTGTCTGTGTGTTTGTCTTTCCAGTGCCAGGGATGGAACCCAGGGCTAAGCAAGTGCTCTACCACTAAGCTTCATCCCCAACCCTGTCTATATTTTTAAATATACTGATCTAAGACAGTGTGGTAGTCTCTAAATTAAGGGAAATAACTTATTTCTAGGATTTTAGGTATACACAGGAATCCTTTGCTTCTGTGAACTTTCTGAAGCATGACAATGTAGAGGTACGTTAACATTTTCACAGTGAGGCCATAACTCCTGTGCCTCACTGCCAGGCAGCTTGAACCACTGGTTGTACATACATAACTACCCCACAGTTCAACTTTTATTAATTTTATTAGTAAGAGACTGATAAAAGTGGTTAGATCCATTTGTGCCACCCGTAGTACAAGCTACCTGATGAAACAGTCGAGCATATACCACCCAAGGTTCAAGCCGGCCGGAACATGTTAATGGATCTTGGCATTACTGTCTGGTGGACAGTCTTAATTACAGATCATGAAGATGGATTTTCCTACAGTCCAACCAATATCAGGGTGATGGTTTTAGCTAAATTTGTGTTCTAGAATACATGTACCATAGTGTATTAATATAATCTCGAATTGCATTTCAATCTCCTAATCAGAAAGCATTTTTTTTCACAAAAATTTTCACTTACCAGGTGAAGGGTTTTATACTTTTTCATGGTACTTCTTTTTTTGTTTGTTTTTTTGCTTTTTTGAGACAGGGTCTCACTATGTAGTTGAGACTGACATGGAACTCACTATGTAGCCCAGGCTGGTCTCGAACTCACAGCAATTCTCTTGCCTTAGCCTCCCAAGTGCTGGGTACTTCTGCTTGGTTGTAGACATAAAATGTGGCTGGTCTCTATAATCTTCCTTGGGAAGATAGTTATTTCTATAGAAATTACTAGTAGGATCTATAAATAGTTTGTTCAAACAGTACAGTATAGTGATTTAAATCATCGGCTTATCCATTTGTTTTTATTGTTAAAATAGACTGGTTTGTGAGCCACAACTAACCTCAGAGTCGTAAGGACTGAATTAAATAGCAGAGTACTTCCAGCCTAGCCCTGACACAGCATACTGGTTTAAACAGTATATGCTTATTACACAGATTGGCTGCACTAGTGCTACCTTAGGAGAGATTGATACTTAACAAATTATTATGGCTGAGCTTGACCCTGCAAGTCCTCGTTGTCATGGTCTCCAAGCTGACTGGTGCTTTAATCTTTTCCTTGCCTGGGTAAATGCATTCTTGTCCACAGAGACCACGGTGTGGGGGTAGGCAGGTGTCATGCTGGATTCATCACTCTGTGCTTTTCCTGATCTGCCTCGGATGGCTCTCCCACGTTGCAGCTTACTCCTTGTAACTATTATTCCATGTTCGTATTAACGTCAGACTGTATTTACTTATGTTCTGTACTGAGGAACATTTTGTGTATTTCAGTCTTTTTCTTTCGTATTCTCACTGTTCTTACTAAGGAGTAAAAGGGCTTCTTTGGGTTCTGATAAGTCAGCCCTGTGCATTATCAGCACATGCACTGCTTCAACGCCTCCTCCCTTATTTCCATCATTATTTTTAAAAGCTGTTCCTTTTTTGAAGGAGGAGCCTAAAAACTAACCATCATTGTCTTTCCAGCTTGCTGCCTTGCATCTTATAACTAACCTGGTGTTGTGTACTCTCAGCACACCACACAGATGAGCGATGAAGAAGAGGATGATGATGGCGACCTCTTTGCTGACTCTGACAAGGAGGAAGATATTGAGGACATTGAAGAAAATACTAAGCCAGTAAGAAAGCATAGTTGCTGTCTCTCAACGAGGTTCTAGAAATGGTACCTGCAGCTCATTCCCTGTATTGTTACTCAACTGTATAGCTAACTTGTTTTGCATAGTATTTGTAAGTTCACTTACACTCCTGAACAATGGTGAACACCCACAATTGTCTTGTAAGTGCCACTTTCTTCTTGTAGTATTAGGAATTTATAGGTCAGGTTGTTTCAGAATATACTCAGTTCTCGAGTTTTAGGAACTGTGCTCCTCTCTCCCCACACCCCAGCATCTGTTCTAGTTTCCTCACTGAGATTTTCTTACCTAGTCATCTTTACCAAGATTCATTCAAGTGCAGTACTATGGACCACCAAAATTCTCAGGGGTTATGTTCCTAGATTACTGACAAACTGTGAAAAGCCAAGAATTTCAGATAACGGTCCTAAAAATGCCTATAAGTGCCTATTTTTATAGTTTAAACCCTAAATACACTTTGTCTCCTACAGTTGCATAGTTTAATTTAATAAAATAATGTTATTAATAAAGCCTTAGAAGATACAGGGTGTTTTGGCAGCATCTTAGGCCTTTAAGAAGAACAAAACTGGGGCTGGGGATTTAGCTCAGTGGTTCCACCGCCTGCCTTGCAAGTGCAAGGACCTGAGTTCGATCCCCAGTACCAAAACAAGAAAGAAGAACAAAACTGAGAACACTGGAGATAGCTGCTCAGGTACATCAACTTCTTAAGATGTGGGAATTCTGGTGCCTCTGCCCAAAGGCAGCAACCAGTCAGCAGCAAGGAGAGCCAGTAACACTCTTGGATTGCCCACTTAGAAAATTCCCGCCTGAAAAACAATTACAGAGGATATTTGGGGTTTCCACAAAATTACAATTATTAAGTTTAAAGGAAAAATCCATGAGCAACTGAGATTTGGAGCTCTGAACCACATCTTGGGGGCATACCGTGTTGGCAAGGAAATAGCGTTTTGAAGGCACGTTTTATGAGTCTTGTCTCTCAGGCAGTCTCTATATGGTGCATATGTTCAACTTCATTTCATCAAACCCTGTTTTCTCCTAAGCTCAGTTTCTTTGCTGCTGAGCAAGTGGGGGTTTGTTAGGTGTCCAAAAGTAAAATGCACTTATCTGTCTATTAAAAAGAGTGCTTCTTTTGGTCTCTCCTGCCCACAGAAAAGGCCCATGTCATTTGCCGATGAGTTGGCAGCTCGGATCAAATGGGATGGAAGCCGTGTGGGAGAGGAACAGGCAGGTGAGCTGAGACGAGTTAGCAAGTCATCTGTGCAGTGCAGGAGCCTCTGCTGGCCCCACTGGGTTGGGGTTCTGCTTCTCATTCCTAAGGCACAGAGGCACAAGCACTCCGAAGCCAGGAGAAATGCACACGTGTATCTGTGTAACATTTTCCACACAATTCCAAGGGCCTCACAGACACCCCAGGGAACTATGGGCACCCAGTTAAGGGTCTGTGACTTTATATTTATTCCTGTATTTTTAATAATTATAATGCACTGTACATCTTGTTGTGTTTATTTGAGAGTTTAGGAAGATGTCAAAGTAAATCTTTGTGCAGGTTCAGTGCTGTATGCTCTTGAGCCAGCCATGTGGGCAGTGGCCTTCTGTCCTCCAGGGGATACTTGAGTGCCTCCTCTGCACCTGGGCCGAGCTACTTACCCTGGTGAAGTGAGATGCAAAGTCCAGCATCCTACTTAAGAGTCATGAGGACAACAGACACACGTAGAGACACACATAGTAGGGCTGAGTATTAGATAATCTGTGAACTATCCCAGCCTTGTCCTCAGGAGATCCCAAACCTCGGAAGACACTGAAAGAGAAGAAGGAAAGAAGGGCACCTTCTGAAGGTAGGCCTTCTCCCTGATTCAGTCCTATTTTAGGAGCTTTTGACTCAGAAATGTCCCGCACTGGATTTGGAAAGTATAATTTTAAATGCTGACAAGTGGGCTTTATCTCAGTTCCCTTTGCCAGAGGATCTAAAAGCATTCTTTGGGTACCAGGATGGGGAGAAAATGTGGAATAAAAACACTAGTGAAGATCTGAATGATTAGACTGTATAGCTGGTGAGGAAACAAGCTAGAATTTTCAGTAACAGCACTATTGGACCCTTTAACATCCAGTGACAGTGTTCATCATGTGCCCTTTTGCTGTGACCTGCAAATTTCTTTCTTTCTTTTTTTTGGTTCCAGGGATCAAGTTCAGGTCCTTGTGCTTGTGAGGCAGGCAGCAGAACCACTGAGCTAAATCCCCAGCCCAGACCTGCAAATTTCTTTACGTGTATCCTCCTTCGGGTCTCCAGGGAGGTAATTCTTGAATTTGGCAGTTGAGCTCACCACAAAATGTCTACAGTAGGCCGGGGATTTAGCGCAGGAGTTAGGTGGCCTGCCTTGCAAGCACAAGGACCTGAGTTCAATCCCCGGTACCAAAAAAAAAAGTCTACAGGCTTGCCTAACGAATGCCCTGGGGAGGCTGAGGCAGGCAAGGCACAAGTTTTGAGACCAGCTAGGACCGTATGGTGAGTTCAAGACCAGCCTGCTCTACCTAAGACCCTGTCTCCAAAAACAGCACAGTAACAGAAACTTCATTCTTTCTGCTCTAGACATTTACTGACTTGAAAGTAAGCCCAGGGAACCTTTAGGGTACCCCAGTGGGCTTTGAGTGGGTTACTGTTAGGAATCCTCTGCTGCCCTCAGCCCTTCCTTGTTAGCCGAGGCCAGGTACCTCTCATACCCTGCTGTGAGTGCCATAGAGGCCTACGCCAGGACTGTGGGCACCAAACCCACCCTGGCTGACCCTGCACAATGTTGCTTTCTGCTCACCAGATGAAGAAGATAACTTATTTGCCCCACCCGAGCTGACTGATGAAGACTTCTCACCTTTCGGTTCCGGGGGTGGCCTGTTCAGAGGTGGGCAGGGCCTCTTTGACAGCGACAAGGATGAGGAGGTGAGTGAGTGTGCACCACTGCCGGATATGGTTGAGTTCATGGGATATCTGCCTTTTCTTTTAGTGGAAGAGTAAGCTCTGTCATTTCAACATCAGATCTGGGGGGTGTCAGACTCACCCACAGAGGATACGGTGTCTCCTGGGCTCATTTGTTAGGGTGACGTGGATGTGTTATCAGTGAGTAGTCACTTACTTCGGTGATTATTTCTTACCTTACTGTCGTCTTCTGTCCTTGTATTTAACTCCTGGACAGCCCCAAGTTAGTTAAGAGTTTGTCTCCATGGTCTTCTCTTTGCAGCTGATTTTCTGGTGAACAGTGAATATGAAGCTTTGAGATTTATTGGATCCTTGAGACCCTGCATTGTGGATGCATTTCCTCTCACATGTTCATTTCTCTGTATCTCTTTCACCCAGAGTGACCTCTTCAGGGAGGCCCCCCAGGACTGGCACACCCCAGCCCCCGTGAATGACGGTAAGCTCCCTTTTGTGTGAGAGTCAGAACTCCATTCCCTTCCTATTAGGAGGTGGAAGCCCCAAGTGGTTCCCAAGCTAAAGACTGTGCTGTTTGCTGTGGAGCAGTTGCAGACAGTTTTATCTTCCTTTTTTAACTTTCCCATCCCCTTGATCCTGTGTCAGAGCACCTGAGATAGCTAAAAGGACAACGGGTTGTTTAGGCTCATAATTTCAGAGACTGTCAGCAATGGACACTTGACACCATTGCCTTGGTCCTGGGCTGCACAGCCCACTGTGGAGGGGGTGGGGTGAGGCTGCTCCCCTCTTGCCAGCCAGGAAGCAAGAGAAAGAGGGGAAAGGTCAGATCCCAGTGTCCCCTCAAGAGCACCCACAGTGGCCTGACTTCCTCCTAAAGCATTGGTGGGGATTCTATGGTCCATATGCTGCAGCCAGCTGTTTGTTTTCATTGAAAGCTCTAAAAGATTCACCACCACTGTCCTAAAAAGTCCAGCACCTTACTACTGGTAGTGACACAGGCTGGATATAGAGCCTTCAACACCTGGATCTGTGGGGGATTTTCCAGATACACAGCACTTCACTGATTTGGCTCCTGGTTAAAACAGTACCATCTGTAAACTCCTTCAAGGGTTCATAAAACGTCAGTATAGCAATATGGAGAATATTTTTAATAAAGTATAACTCAAAATCATTCCTAACATTCTGCACCTAAATCAGCGATCAATAATTCTCTAGTTTGGTGTGCTTCAGAATCACCTGTGGAGGTTTTTAAAAGTAGAAAGGTGCTGTTTTTTTTTTTTAACCTGAACTTTTTATCATACCAGGTTTGAGGTGATTCTCCACATTGCATATCCAGGTGTTGGGTTGTGGGCATGTTATCTTCCTGTTCCTGCTCTCCTGTTTTGTGTCAGTGACACATTGAGCTGGGCCAGACACAGCTATTTTGTGGGACTTGGTTCCCAGGCATGACTCCCTCAGACACCCCATTGCATTTGACCACCATCAGGGCTCCTGACTTTCCTGCAGTCATAGTTTAGATGTGTTAATCTTTTAAATTGCTAGAAGGAAAATCTCAGGGTATTTATTATCAATTCTGAAAGGTCCCCTCCTGGGAAGTGTTGTGTTGCACATACTTTAGGAAAAGGATCTTTATGTGGAAAGTTGATGTCTTTGTGAACTGATTGTCTCTTCTTCCTCACCCTAGAGTCTTCCTCCTCCTCCTCTAAACCTGGAAAGAAAATCCCAGCAGGAGCTGTTTCTGTATTTTTGGGTAATGGGTTTGTTCTTTAAAAACCGTAGGGGTTCATGGCCAGGGATTTAGCTCAGTGGTTCCGCTGCCTGCATCGCAAGCACGAGGACCTGAGTTCGATCCCCAGTACAAAAAAAAACCATAGGGGATCAGTTTCATGATGGTTCTGTCATCCTGAGGACTGGCTGAAGAGGAGGCCCCTTCAAATGGTGCAGAGCAGCTTACAGAGGCGCTCAATTACTGATGCCAACTCATCAGTAACTGAAAACTCATGGCCTTGTGGCTAGGCTGCAGCTGAGGCATGGAGCGCTTGCGTTGTATATACATGGGCACTGGCTTCCTCCCCATCACCGCAAAATAATTGTTAAAGAGAAAGAAATGGGTGGTTGGGCTTCTTTGTGTTTGAGTGACCATGTGATCCTGCATTGTGAGTCCTTCACTAGCAGTAGCTAGTTTGGACCTGATGTGTTTTGTGGATGAGCTAAAACTAGTGTGTAGTTCTCGGTGGGAGGTGCTGTTTGTTCTGAAGCCGGGAAGCTCACCCACACTGTCCCACAGCTGTGGCTTTCCTATTCTCTGCCCTCAGGGGACACAGATGTGTTTGGGGCCCCGACCTCTCCGATGCTGAAGGAACCCCAGAAGCCTGAGCAGCCTACTACGGGGAAGAGCTCTTATGTCCCCCCTGCTAGTGGTCTCTTCGATGATGATGATGATGATGACGATAACTTTTTCACAGGGTCCAGCAGCAAACCTTCCAAGACAGGTATCTGTCCCAGCTTCTGATTCTGGGGATTTGGCTGGAGAAAGCTGTGGCCCAAAGAGGATGCAGCTCGCCCAGCTATGGGCCTTCTCACCTCCAAATCCTGCTTTGCACTTTGCTATCTCTGTCGTCTCTGTGCTTAATGATGCTCACTCTCAGAGGTTGCTATAGAGTGGGCCATCATTTCTGCTTTGGACACTGTGTGCAGAGATTATCTTTCTTATAGAGAGCTGAAGTCTTTTCCCTTGCAATTTCTGCTCAGAATCCCTTACATCTGGCCTTTGGAGTTACAGAGGTGGTTTTTGTCCTGCTGCCCTCTAGCAGCCTGCTGTAGTGCCTTGGATGAGCAGAAAGTTGGGTGCTGGCCATTTAGTTACTACCTTCTCTCCTCCATGTGGAAGAGCCTGGTGTGCAAGTGTAACAGACTTTCCGCCCTGTCCAGATGGCCCTCTCTTTTCTGCTTCCTCAGGTTTAAGTCAGTGTGCTGTTGAAGTCTGCACCTCATCTGTTCTTCAGGGTACAGGTGGATCTGGGGACTGCTCTCAGAATGCGAATAGTGATCGGATCCATGTGGGTGGGGCCTGGACGTCTGCATGGATATCAGAATGGGCTGAGTTTGCTGTTCTGTGGGCCACACTCGAAGGAGCAAGAATTAGATTCAGTGGGGTCTTTTCCATAAAGGGAGAGTGGATCAATTTCCAGCACATAAACAAAGGAAAGAATGAAGGGTGGCCTAAGGAAAGAAAGAGAACCAGAGGTGTTCAGAAACAGGCTGTCTGGACTGACTTTCCTTTCCCAGGTGGGTGTAGAAAGTAGTCAGAAAGTCAATATCCTTGCATTAGAGTGCAGTCAGTTGCATGGTGTGCTGAGACCTTAGCAGGCTGAACTGACAGCTGGTAAAGGCAGGAGGGCCCCAAGGGCTCTTAGTATCCTTCAGAAACGATTGGGGGTCACAAATGAGTGTTTCTTGGGACACTCATGAGTCAGCGTCCTCCTTTCACTGACTTGGGCTTCATGCGGGGCAGCAGTACTTGTGAGAATGAAAAGTTGGAGCCACCCAGGTGTTCATTAATAGCGTACTGGTCCTTCTGTTCAGTGGAGTTTTGGGAAGCTGTTAAAGAGAACGAGGTCTATGTGGGTTGACGTGGGGATATTTTCTAGGTACATTTAGTGGAAAACAATCAGTAGAATGCAGTACTCATTGTCTTGCCATCATGGCCCTGTTTATAAATAACTAGAGTTGAACGTTAAATTCTGGGGGATTTAGAGACAGATGTGCCCAGCTATATTCCAATGTCTGTCTTGTCTGAGTGGGTAGGTAGCATTCTGAGGAACTAGCATTTGCTTTTATCACTTCTGTAGTTTTACTTTTTAAAGAAGGATCCATCCTCATGTTGTTTAGAGTCCTAGAATGATGCCTCAGGTTCAGTGGCCCTGTGAAATGATATTTCTTTAGGTCTTTTTTCATGGGTACCTATTAAGCCACTTCTGGCTCCTCCAAGCTAGCATTGGATGATGCTGCTTGAATTAATGCATCAGCTGGAGGATTAAAGTGTCTGTCCTGTGTCATCTAAGCTACTGTTTTGCTCTTTGAAAGGCACCAAGGGAATGGGTCTAGGGTGTAGCTCAATGGTAGAGCAATTGCCTAGTATGCAGGAGGTCACAAGTTTGATCCCCAGCACCACACCAAGAAAATTATTAAGAGGAGAGTGTGGTTCCACTTCCTACTTCTTTATAACTAATCAAAAATAGCATGATTTTTCCATTTATCCTTTGGGAGAGAATGTTGTAATCCTCAAACCTCATGATAAAACTCTTATCTTACCCTGTGCTATCTTATTGAAGACAAAATCAAATCTACTGCCAACATCTTTGATGATGAAGAAGGTGATCTTTTCAAAGGAAAAGCAGCAGCTGTGCCCGAAGCAGCTGGGAAACAGAGAGATGAAAGCAAAGCAGAAGGCAAAGCAAGGGTGGAGCAGACGGTGAGTGGAGGGAGCAGGGCAGGAAGGAGAACAGCTGTGGATGTCTTACTGGTTCTTCTGGAGCCAGGGAAGTGGTGTCCAGTGTTTGTTTATATTGAAGAGCTTCGGACGTGAGCTTGGCAGAAGAGTCAGTGAACTGCAAATAACTACCGCTCGGAGTCGGCAGTTGTTCAGATTGCGCCCAATGTTTTACATATCTGAACCTGTCTGCATGTGCTTTTGCAGGGAAGCTGTACTCATCATGGCTTTTACCCCTAAATATTAAACGTGGTGTAAACAAAGACTGCATATAACCAGGTGCCCTTATCAACAGCTACAAGATTACCAGTAATTCTCCAGTGGGATCCAGTATCTAGTTCTCATACGCAGTATTCTAGCTGGCCCTGAAATGTGTCAAAAAATCATACCCAACGCCCAACTTGTATAGTACTGCTTTGAAATTATTTCGTATTCAGTCTCTTGTCTTCAGAACGTCACCTGTGGCTTTAGTTTTACTTTGTTTCATTGTGAAGAAACCCAGGATCTCTGCAATGTTACCACATGGCATTTGCTTGTCCTGTTTCTTTGGTGTCCTTTTAATCTGAAACAGTGCCTGCTGTGTTTGCGCTTTCATTCGTACAGCCAGCCATTTGTCTTGCAGAATGTATCACTCTGGATTTACCTCACTGTTTTCCTATAGTTAGGTTTGGGTTAAGTGTCTTTGGCGGGGATACAGGCAGGCACTACGTCACCTCTGAAGATGCTGATGCCACCATGCCCACTCTCCGTCTTCATGGCAGTTGGATCCCCACATGACGCCCCTCAAAGGAACTGCTCTCTGTCATTAACACGTTGCTCTCTGTGATCTTTGACACTGACTGTCCTATTCTTAGCCATGAACTTAGTGGTTTTAACATCCACTGATGACTTTTACTGAACCAGTTATCCTGGGAGGGGTAACTAAGTGAAAAGTGAAAAGTGCCTTTTTGATTCTATTTTCTCCATACTTACTAGCTGGCATTCTGAATAGAAGAGCTTTCTCCTCTCATTGCCCTAGTTTTCAGTATTGTCACAGGAACATCGATTCTTTATCAAGTGTATTACTTTTTTTTTCTTGGTGGTCACATTGATCTATGTTTGTTGAGTCACCTGTCTCCGTCGGCCCTAAGCTCTTCAGGCTGCTGCTCTTTCCTCTGTTGTCGGCACTTGTTTCCTTTTCTTTCCCAACCTCGACCCATTGTGTCTCATCCTTGCCAGAAACCTGACTTCTGGCAGTCACTGCCGTCCCAGCAATTAGAACCCAAAAGGCTGTGGGCAGCCTGTGCAGATAGCTCCATGGTCCGATTGCACGTATCCTCTGTACACTGCATGACACAGGCAGCCTATCCTGAGCCCTGCTTCCCTAGCAGTGCCCTGCGTGCCATCTTGCTCTTCCCTTCCCTAGACCAGTTTTAGCTTCTTACTGAGATAGTTCACCCCTTGTGTTAATTCTTTGTGTGAGCCTCACATGCACCAGGGTCTACGTTGGCACCTTTATTCCTGGAGGTGTGTCTTGGCAACTTCTTATAGCAAACTGTCAATAAATAAGTCTCATTTCCAGGTTTCGTATTTGCTAATCTTCTATTTTTCTTATTTTCCCCCAACAAGGTAACCCTACCTTCCAGCAAAAATCTCAAGCTCTTGCCAGAAACAAAACCTCAAAAAGGTTTGTTTTCAGATGAGGAGGACTCAGAGGTATGGAATTCTTTTTCTTAGTCCTAAATATTCAGCTGTGCTTGTGAGACTAAAGACTATTATTTCTGGATCAATTTTATCCCCAGTAGAGGCATGAGACTCTATTTTTAAGATTAATTTTTCTGGTACATTTTAAGTATACAGTATAATGACTTTCATCATTGGGAATTTGCACCTTACATACTATATCTTGGTTATTTTTTCCCCTACCCTCCCTTCAACCCCTCCACTCCTATTTACAAAGACTTTGTTTCCATTTTTCCCTTTTGTCATTTTAATTCCATTCCCTACTTTCCCATCCCCTACTCCTCCTACTTCTTTTTCCCTTTTTTCATATTTCACATTATCTATTACACATATTGATCCTTATTTACACTTTCAGACCAGTGATGTTGAACATTTTTTCATATGTTTATTTGCTGCTTCTCCATCTTTGTCTGAGAAATGTCTATTCATTTTAGATGCCCATTTTTGGATTGAGTCTTTAAATTTGGGAATTCTGATTTTTTTAAGTTAGTTATATATTCTAGATAGTAGTTCTTTGTTTGAGGAATAGCTGGTAAAAATTTTTTTCCCACATTGTGGGTTGTCTCTTCATGCTGCTAGTGGTTTTTCTTGCACTGTGGAAGCTTTTTAATAAGACTTTATTAACTAGGTTCAATTTTTTGTTGCTGTTTTCTAAATAATCTCCAGGAAGCACTGAGGCTTCAGAAAGCAGTATGGATATAACTCTTCCCATTTTGGGGTTTGACTCTCCTGCTCTGTGTGTGAGGAGAACACCGGCCTCTAGGATGCTCAGGTTGCAGGCTGTTACTGATGCACACAGGGAGGTGCTTGTGCCAAAATGGAGTATAGCTGGCTGCTCCCTTTTTTGCGAGTCTCAGTAACTAAACAGTGGATGTGGTACTGAAGTGATGTGTTTTCGGTATTGTGGCCAGGCACAGGTTGTGGGTGGCCTCATTCCTTCTAGGCTTTATCTTTCTGTGACTGCTTCAGGCCTGGTGCTTTCAGATCTAGCCTTAGGCCAGCCCTTTGGGAGATTGGAGACCAAGACCATCAAAATGTATATGTAATTTTAAGAAATCTGGATGCCAGGTAGACTCTGCACCCTCAGCCAGGCAGCATGGATGATGAATGATATAAGTAATGCCTTTCCTGGAGGAGTTGTGAGTAGAGAGGAGAATTAGGCAAAGTGCAGTTCAGGCTGACTCCTCATCCCCCAGCAAACAGGAGAGCCCCACACAGGAGTTTCCCTTGCACTCCTCATTTACCTCACCACCATCCAGCACACCCACCTCACATGCAGCAGGTGCCGGCCCCTACCCCTCTGGAGTGTTCTTCCTTTCTTCTGAGGGGCTCATTGCCCTGCCCTCTGGTCTACATGAAGTTGCCCCACCAGCCGGCCACACCTGGGCTGTAGCACAGGCCACACTACACCCATCCACTCTCTTTTCTGTCCTGTCCCTGTCACTCAGCAACCATTGTCTCTTCCCTAGTTTGGCAAAGCTCCAGGGTGGGGAAGATTTGTCCTGGACCATGTCCTCAACACTCTTCCTCTAATACCGGCTTGACATTGCTCAGTTACCCAGTTACAGTTGAGTGTGTGGAAAACCAGACATGAGCAGTTTCAGTGACTTTCCTGGTGTTCGGCTTATTTATGTATTGCTGTCACCAAACCACTACAGAATTCAGTGATTTATAGGAGTGGTTGTTTCACTGTCTACTACGGTCACCAGGGGCCTCTGGTGTCTGAGCCAGGCTGGGCTGAGAATCCTCCCGCCAGAGAAACTGGAGCAGTAGAGCTGCTGGGCATCCAGAGCCATCTTCCAGGGGCAAAGCTTTGGGGACACAGAGCCTATATACCCAGTGACTCGGGCTTGAAATGAGAGAGCTTGGAGTCCATGTAGCCTTTGGTAGCCCAGCCTCAGAAGCCAGCCTACCCTCCTGGACAACTTGTGCCTTTGGTTGGTCAGTACCATAACACTGGCCTGCCCTGGATAGAGGCAGAAGTGTAGGCTGCACTTAGTGGTGGGAGTATAAATGGATTGAAGACTCAGTTTACAATCACAGCAGGGCTTTGGCCCCTGGACTTCACCACAGAGTGAGTGATTTCACTGCATGTGGTCGGTACCCCTAGGCAAGGAGAAGCGAGGCCAGGCACTAAAGGACCGATTTCTTGGTCTTGTCTCAAGTGAGCAGCTAAAGCTTGCCCCTAAGAGAGTCATAGCAGCAGGGCAGGTTTGACGTAATGGAGATATCTTTTTTCCCAGCAAGAAGAAAGGTCCAAAATTATGATGTGGAAGTTTGTTCTTTAATCTTTGTGTAGATTGCTTTCATTTTCTCAAAGCAGCAGAGATCTTTCTTTTGGCACTGTGTAAAATATGGGAGGGGGCAGCCTGCTGGAGCTCCAGGTATGGCCTCTTCACCTGCACTCACCTATGCACTGATGATCCCAGTCCCAAGAAGCCACTGTGTATGCCTTAGATCTGCATTTCAAGAGGAAACACTGGTTTTATGGTTTAAGAAAATTATCCAAAGATGTCTTAAGGAAGTATATTAGTATCCTGTTTGGCTTTTGAAGTTTCTCTGCCTGAGGGACTGGTTGTCCGGTCTTGTGTTTCAATTTCATGCAGCTCAGTTCATAGAACTTTCTCTGCAGTCTGAGCTGTCATTTTAAAACACTTGAAATTATTCATTATTCAGAATCCAACAAATCTTTTCTCGATTTGCAACATCTCATAGCTATACTTCAATTCGAATACCAAACATTTTGAAGTAGAAATTTAATTTGTATTCATTTAAAAGAAATAATATTCTAAGGAGAGAGAGGTATTACTAATAATAAACACTCATGGGTCCACTAGTTGGGAATCTAGGCTCTGTTTCCATGATTTGGGTCATTACCTTTTGACTCTTTAGACAGAGGAAGTCATTCTTACTTTCTCAGCAGGAACAGGGACAGGGGATCATCCTCCTGCCTGAGATAAGTAGGGTGGGTATGTGGAAACCCTTGGGCTTGGGTGAGACCACCTGGAGGCTCACAGCCCTCCTCCTCTTCCTCCTTCCTCCTCCCTCTCCCCCTCCCCTCCCCTCCCTCCCTCTCCCTCCCTCTCCATCAGCTGCTTGTGGTGCATGGGCCCACAGCAGATACCCAGGCCATTCTCCTGAGGACTCTGTCTCAGCCTCATGGCAGCCATTGTGTCCTAGTCTTTACTTCCTATAGTGACCTGACGTGCTAATCACCACCTTCAATCTTGATCCAACAGGATTTGTTTTCTTCTCAAAACCTGAGTCAGTCCAAAAGTGCGTCTCTACTGCCCAGCAAGCTCCCCACATCTGTCTCCCTTTTTGATGATGAAGATGAAGAGGTAAATAAACATCCGTATTGCAGTAAGAATAATCGACTTTTAGGTTAAGCAGAAAAGCCAGCTGATGGTACTGTACAGTCATAGGCTCACAGTAGAGAAGGGGTGATAGGGAGCCACAGGCTGCCTGGAGCTGGTGGGACAGAAATAGGGCAGTGTACACCACAGTCGCTCATGTGGAGGATGTAGACATGTGGCCGAGTTCTTGTGGGAAGCTTAATGGGATTCATCTTTGGACTCTGCCTTTGATAATACTTTTTCTGGGGTGCTGTCAGGTGTGCCCAGTGATCTGCAGGAGTGTCTTAGATAAAGGGGTAGCAAGGAGCAAGAGGCCATCTCCCACCCCGGTCTTTCTTTCCCACCCTGGATGGAAAGAGCATTAGCAGGGTATAAGAGTCAGAGTGAAAGCAAAGCAAACCTATGTGCAGCATTGCGCAGTGGCTAAGCACATGGGCGTTGGCCTTAGACCCAGCTCCATTGCTGCTTGGAGGACCCTTAGCATCCTACATCTCCACAGCCTGAAGGTGAATAGGCCATTGTGACAGTTGAAGCCAACAACAGATGTAAAAAAAACCTTGCAGTACCTGGCACAGAGTCGGTGCCCATTGAGTGTCCCCGCTGGGCATGTGCTCATCGTGGCCCTTCCTGCCTCACCACACCATCCTGTGAGGCCCCTCCCCTGTCTGTGCAGCACAGGATTTCCTCCTGCTATCACACACTCTGAAGAGTTCCTCCATCTAAACTCAGATCAGGCCTCCCATTGTTTTGTTCCCATTGTACCAGTAGAAGTATCTTAATATACTAGAGTAAGTTTATGAACCCATTGAGTGTACGAGAATCAACCCTTAGTATGCCAGCAATTTTATGTGGTAAACTGTTTCTTAACTATGTATTCTGTCTTTAATTAGAACCCAGGTCCTTCCTTCTCTCTTCCATGGATGTGCCTGTCTGAGCTGTCACAGGGTGAAGAAAGCCCCTTAGTTCCTTCTCTTTTATCAGTTGCTTGGTTTCTAAGTCATAGAAGAGAGAAGTGTAACTTGGTGGCTGCTACCTGCCCTCATGCCCACGGGGTACTACCCAGCCTTAGTTCTTCCTCATCCCTCTGCCGCCTCTGTTGCCCTCTCCTCGCTGCCTGCTCTGCACTTAGGTTCAGTGGTGATCTACTTCCTTCCATAGGTAGAAAGTGCAATTACGGAAGGTCATGGGGAGAGACTATTTCTCCACCCACAAGGTGTTATGTTCTGGCCTTCGGGGAGATTTTCTCCCTTTGACATGATTTCTCTTTCAGGTATACAAAGTCGTCATACCTTCCTACCAATTGTTTTTCTAGGATAATCTTTTTGGGACAGCTACTGCCAAGAAACAAATGCCATCTCTACAAATTCAGAGTCAGGAGAAAGCAAAACCCTTGGAACAACACAAAAATAAAGCCTCTGCCTTACTGTTTAGCAGTGACGAAGAGGTGAGTTATGGTTTCACCACATGAGGAAGGTCTTGTTGGGTGGGATTGAAGAGTAACCGCTAGCATGGGCACACCAAAGGGGGCATTTACAAGATTGTGGTTTTCTTCTTTTAAAAGCTATGTAGGCTGTGTTAATTTAGAGATTAATCTTTTCTAAACAATTAGAATGTGTGATAGTCCCCAAACTCTACTTGATGCTGATTCAGATGAGCTGGGTCCTGGAGGGGAGAAAATATCTCTCATCCATCACAAGGTTCATGACTGAGACAGATTAGCATAAGGAAGACATGACATTTATTTTAGATGAGTTTTAGATGATAGGGGAGCCATTAGAAATGAAGGTCTAGAGACACAGGGAAGTTTGTATATTTTATGCCATGTCCAGTGATTGAGGGCGGTTGCCGAGAAGGAGACTAGTCAGAGAGGTGTGATCTAATGGGCATCACTGGGGGAATTCAGCTAGGCCTCTGTGTTCAGATTCCTCTCCATGTTAGCAATAAGGGCATTCCTTAGCTCTGGATTCAGGGAGCCGCCTCTTGTAGAGCTCATGGGAGAGGAAGAAGTAAAGCAATTTCTAAATCGAATAATAGAAATGTAATCCGAAACTGTCTTGTGGCCTCCTTTGCAAAGGAAAGTAGAGGACAGTTTTGGATCTGCTTCAAGAGAGAAGCATGAGAAGGTCAGACAGACCTTGCTGCCTGTTTACTCCACACCAGGTTGCCATACCATGAGGTAACACATCCTGTGCCCCATCAGCTGCACCCTATCTTGTTTAGTGACAACTGCAGGTCACTCACAGGACAGATAGACATGGTAGGAGTGGCCTGTGCACGCCCAGCTCACACAGGTATTTCTGTTTCCAAATCGGCACCATCAGTAGTGATTATGATTTAGTTGCTATTCAGGTTGAACTGTGCAGAAAAGCCTTTCATGAAATTTAAAATCCTGAGCATTAAAGATCTTCCTGAGGGTTGGAGGTACAGCTCAATGTGGAGTATTCGCTTAACATGTAAAAGGCCTGGATTCCATCGCCAGGACTAGAAAAACGATTTTTAAATAAATAAAAATCTGAGTTCTTTATCCTTTTAGCTGTGATGTTATAAGGTGGATAACAACTCATAGCTTTGTTAATATATTTATTAAGAGCAACTTAAAATAACAACATGAATTGTGTTTTTGCAAATAAAATTTATGGTAGAGTCTTCATTTTTTTTAACCATTGTCAGTGGTTATTTGCCTCATAATGACAGAGAGACATCAGTGGACTCAATCCTATCAGCATAATGTTGGTGCTGAGAAAATAAAATTATTAGCTATTGCAGGGAGCAAAAAGTAACCTGAAGTAAAGATTCCAAGGTTCTAGAACAAAGACTGGCAACCTCAGCTACCCCTGGGTCCCTGGCAAGCTTTGAAGAATACTGAAGATTGGTCTCAGGGTTGGAATGGCTTTGGGGTACAGCCTCCTCACATGAACTTGTTAAAGGTCTTCAGTGACTTTTAGTCTGCAGCCCAGCTGAGTGTGGCTGAAGACAAACAGTGTGTGAAAAAAACGCCCCCAGGACCCTGTGAAATGCAGGTTCTGACTCAGCCTGGTGTGGGGCCTGAGGTTCTACAGAACCTGTGCTGGCTTCAGGACTTCTGCAAAGCCACGTAAGCAAGGACTTGGGAGAATCTTGGTGTGCAGGGGTCAACATGGCCTGGTTGGATTTCCTTAAATCCTTCCTGAGGGCCACATCCCAACACTGTGGTACAGGGGTCACCAGCAGCTTCCTTCGTACTGGTTGGCAGGTGTGGTGGCAAGAGCTTGTTACCATTATTTCACTGTCTGCTTTCTGATCTTTTACATCAAAACAGCATTCTTCTCCAGAGTTGACTTTGTAACGCTCGGATTCGTCTTTCTTCTTATCCCCTCTATAATTGATTTTGAGTTCTCTTGTCCCAGACCAGGACGGAGCCATAGCAAGGAGATTGTGACAGGTGGTAGAGGAAAAGATCCAAGAAGGACTGTGAGATCCCAGAACCCAGCTGAGTGGACCTGAGTTCAAAGCCTCAGGCATGACCTTTCTCCAAGAGTGATACACTTAGTTTGATACTTAACTTAAAAACCACTTAATTCAACAAATGTTAAATAGTCTGGTGTTCCATGGTCTGGATCACTGTTTTTATTCTGTTCTTGTGGTGCTAGGGAGCAGGAATAGGGCCAGGCCTGTGTGGGCCTCTGAGTGTCTCCCCTCTCCTCCTGATGTGTAACGCATGGATTGTGTTTTCAGGACCAGTGGAGCATCACTGACACACAGACCAAGCCAGCATCCGACAGCAAATGCAAAGAATTCAGCGACACTGGGACCAGCCAGGGCCAGCAGGCCACAGCTATGAAGAAGGCCAGCCTCTTTGAGGAGGAGGATGAAGATGACTTGTTCGCCATTGCCGAGGACAGGTGAGATAGTCTGGCAGGAAATTGCTGTCTTCAAGTCTGTGGTGGTGAGGGAAGGTTTGGAGTTTGCAGGTCAGGCAGTGTGTGGTCATCAGGACATACATCCAGGTCTTCTCCCAGTGCTAGAAGTGCTTTTTTCATGGATCCTTGATTCCTTCTCTCCATCATCGTTTTTAGTAGCCTGGAAATTCTTTGTCTTAGTTTGTCAGTGGTTTAAGTACAGTTGTTGTCTTGTGTACTCTGTGTTCTCTAATGGACCCTAAAGATTGTAAAGTTTGGTCAGGTTAGTTAAAAATTTGTCACTTCCATAGAAATGGGCTCAGCATTGAAAAGTGTCCTGGTAGAAGACAGTTGTCCACAGAACTGTGAGACCCACAGGTGGCAGGAACCCTCACTGTCTGTGTGATTACCCTCTGACAAGAACTTGGAGGAATTGGAACTCAATACACTGCTGGTGGGAAGGTGAAATGTTAGTGCCAGTTTGGGAAATGAATCAGTATCGCCTCGAAATTTTAAGGGTAGAGTTACCTTGTGACCCAGTAATCCCTCTTATATCTAAGAGAAATGAAAACAAGTGTTCATACAGAAACTTGCACACAAATGTTTACTGTAGCATTACAATAGGCAAAAAGTAGAAATAAGTCCATCATGTGGACAAATCCACATGTCCATCAACAGTGACTGGATAACCACATGCTACATAACCACGCAGTGGACTCTGACACCCCATAAGGAGGAGTGAAGTACTGATACATGCTAGGAGGTGGAAGAAGCCGGCCATAGAAAACCAAAATTGTATCATTCCCCCGATAGGATGTGTCCCAAATACATAACGCCGTGGAGACAGAAAGTTTTGGCTACCAAGGTTGAGCGGAGAAGGGGTGGGGAGTGACTCCGATCAAATGAGCGAGGAAATATTTGAGCTTAGGTCCTGGTGATAATACACAACTCTGAACATACAGATAACCACTGACATACACAGTTGATTTTATGGTGTGAAAATTGTCTTAGTAGTGCTACTGTGAAAAAGATAGCACACAGACAACAACCTCACATCCCCAAGCTGGCCAAAGCCTTCCTGATCATGCCCGACACAGGCAGTCTACTCCTGTCTTCTCTCTGCTGTGATACCACAGGGCTCCTGCCTAGTGCCCTCACACTGGTGGAGAGTGACCACCCAGCCCACATGGGGCAGATGGTGACTGTAGGTGTGGCTTAGAAAGGATATCATTTTTTTGTCTCTTAAATCACATCTGCCTTGAATTTGATCTTTTGTTTTCTCATGTAGCCATAAGAAGACCCAGAGAGTGTCCCTCCTATTTGAAGACGATGCAGACAATGGAAGCTCTCTGTTTGGCTCTCCTCCCACCTCTACTCTTGCAGCCATGGTACTTTTCCTTGCTCAGACTGGGGAAATGTTCTTGAGGTTCTGCTGTAGAGTAATGGTGCCACCCACCGGAGTGACTGAACCTTAGGAAGAACGTGTTTGCCTGGTACAGAAAGAGCTCTGATTAGGGGTACTGTCAGAGCTAGTAGAAAAGGGCTCCCCAGTCAGGCAGCCCACTGAAGCAAGTTCTAGAACAAGAATCTCCATGTCAGGGAGACAGCCCCAGGGCTTGCAGTACTGCTAACATTTGCATGGCTGGTTAGGGCATGTGTTGGTAAGCTTTCCCTCATTGTGACAGATATGAGAAACTGAGATAATCAGAAACAAGCAGGAAAGGTTTGTTCCAGTTCCAGATTTCAGAGGTTTACCAAGAACTCTGGTTTGTGGCTGGTTGGCCCAGATGCTTTGGGCCTGTCATGGCACTGTGCATTGTGGCAGGAGCATGAGGTAGAGGAAGTGCTCGCCTCATGGTGACCAGAAAGCAGTGAGACATGCCTCACTGACCTCGTTTCCTCCCACTTGTCACGGCACATGAAGGTGCCACTGTTACGGACTCTTGTGAGTTCTCAGGTGCGTATAAGATGAAAACCTTACATGAACTACTAGAGAGAAAATAAAAGTCTGTTATAGGAAAGACACTGGCTTTTCTTTTGGTAGAAAAAAGAGACTGCCCGTGAGGTGCTGCCTTTGCTGTTCAGCGATGAGGAAGAGAAGGAACCACAGTTTGGAGTGAAACCTGTGGGCCAGAAGGCGGAGAGGCCCTCCACACCCTCATTGCTGCAGGGAATCAGCACAGCTGAGGAGCTGGAAAAGGTGGGGCTTGTCCTCTTGTTTCCTAATGCAGTGCTATCCCAAATGTCGCTGTCTCTTTCACACATACTTTTTCCACCACAAAATATCAGTGCTTCGCGTATGAAAAGATTTGAAAGCTCTAGAAAATGTGAGAAGGCAGCCTATGCTCCCCCTAGCCTCGGAGAAACCTTCCTACAGCCCTGTTTAGGCTCCTCTCCTGGGCATACTTCCTGTTCCATGAAGTTCCTGTGGAGTCTTGTCGGTGTGTATTTTGTCTTCCTTCTGGGGTGTGCCTCTTGGTCTCCTTTCTTGTCTTCTCTCCACATCTTTGCTCTTTCTGGCTTCTCTTTCTTCGATTTTCCTGTCTTTAGCTCTTCTCACCCCCACCTGTACTTGAATTAAGATGTCAATTTTCTGAAGACTCTAGTTTCAGATTCTTTTACTTCTGATTGATAACTGGTGGTGAATTACAGAGCGAGGTAAAATGTATCTTCTTCTCATACACTGGCTCTCTTTTACTGATGGTTGGCTGTGTCTGGCTGGGGCCTGTGCTAATGCTGCTGACCACTTCTTAGAGTCCAGGAGCCACAATAGCTGTCCATCTCTGTTCTCTTTGTCTTTGTGACTCCACTTTATGTCCAGACACTCTCTCCAGGGCCTGAGGGAAGAACACTGCATTACTCTTCCTTTGAGGCCCCTGGAGAATTGGGGATGCAGGCCTTTCTCTATACCCCATCACTCTGAATAGCTCCCACCAGTGGCATGTGGACCGTCCTGTGTGGACCTGCACTGTCCTCTCCTAGCCCATCCACCTTGCTTCTACCTGCCTGCCCTGTACCCTCTCCCTCTCTTGAGTATCCACTCCTCAGGTGTGGGCTGGCTTTGTTTGCTCAGCATTACGTCTTTTGCTTCACATACCACCTTGTACATAGTAGGCCCTACCTATCTTACATACTATGTCAAAAAAAATGTTCCAGGGCTGGGGATTTAGCTCAGTGGTTCTGCCACCTGCCTCACAAGCACAAGGACCCGAGTTAGCTCCAGTA